TATTGATGATGGTTGTGATGGTGGTGGTGATGGTGGTGGTGATGGTGGTGGTGGTGGTGATGGTGGTGATGGTGGTGGCGATGGTGGTGGCGATGGTGGTGGCGATGGTGGCGGTGGTGGTGGTGGTGGTGGTGGTGGTGGTGGTGTGGGGGTGGTGAGTGGTGTGGTGGTGGTGGTGGTGATGGTGGTAGTGATGATGGTAGTTATGATGGTAGTGATGATGGTAGTGATGATGGTAGTGATGATGGTAGTGATGATGGTGATGATGGTAGTGATGATGGTGGTGATGATGGTAGTGATGATGGTGGTAGTGGTGGTAGTGATGGTGGTGGTGAAGGGTACGGATGTCGTTGGTATGGGTGCTGGTGGTGTGTTTGTGGTATGTGTACTGATAATCAGGTCCAGGTACCTGGAGGTTATTCCGGGGATCAACGCCCCCGCGGCCCGGTCCATGACCAGGCCTCCCGATGGATCAGGGCCTGATCAACTAGGCTGTTACTGCTGGCCGCACGCAGTCCGACGTACGAACCACAGCCCGGCTGATCCGGCACTGACTTTAGGTATCTGTCCAGCTCTCTCTTGAAGGCAGCCAGGGGTTTATTGGCAATTCCCCTAATGCTTGATGGGAGGCTGTTGAACAGTTTTGGGCCCCGGACACTTATGGTGTTTTCTCTTAGTGTACCAATGGCGCCCCTACTTTTTATTGGCGGCATTTTGCATCGCCTGCCCAGTCTTTTACTTTCGTAGGGAGTGATTTCTGTGTGCAGATTTGGGACCATTCCTTCCAAGATTTTCCAAGTGTAGATTATGATATATCTCTCCCTCCTGCGTTCCAACAAGTACAAGTCAAGTGCTTCCAAGCGTTCCCAGTAGTTAAGGTGCTTGACAGAACTTATACGTGCAGTAAAGGATCTCTGTACACTCTCTAGATCTGCGATTTCACCTGCTTTGTATGGAGATGTTAATGTACAGCAGTATTCCAGCCTAGAGAGAACAAGTGAATTGAAAAGGATCATCATGGGCTTGGCATCTCTCGTTTTGAAAGTTCTCATTATCCATCCTATCATTTTCTTTGCACGTGCGATCGTGGCACTGTTGTGATCCTTGAAAGTGAGATCCTCAGACATTACTACTCCCAGGTCCCTTACATTATTTTTCCGCTCTATTGTATGGCCGGAGTCAGTAGTATACTCTGTTCTAGTTATTATCTCCTCCAGTTTTCCATAACGGAGTAGTTGGAATTTGTCCTCATTGAACATCATATTGTTTACCGTTGCCCACTGGAAAACTTTGTTTATATCTTCTTGGAGGTTAACCGCGTCCTCAGCAGATGACAGCCTCATGCAGATCCTAGTATCATCCGCAAAGGATGATACGGTGCTGTGGTGTATATCTCTGTTTATGTCTGATATGAGGATAAGGAATAAGATGGGGGCGAGTACTGTGCCTTGTGGAACAGAGCTCTTCACTATGGCAGCCTCCGATTTAACTCTGTTGACCACTACTCTTTGTGTTCGATTTGTTAGGAAGTTGAAGATCCATCTCCCCACTTTCCCAGTTATTCCTTTAGCACGTATTTTATGGGCTATTACGCCATGATCGCATTTGTCAAATGCTTTTGCAAAGTCTGTGTATATTACATCTGCATTCTGATTTTCTTCCAGTGCATCCAAGGCCATGTCATAGTGATCCAGGTACACAAATACAGTTACATAAATTATCATACATAGCATCATATGTGTAGATTACCTAGAATAACCTCCAAAAAAGTCAAAAGTGACTTATTTCCATTGGGATCCTTGCCATGTGGTAGTGGTGATTGTGGTAGTGGTGACTGTGGTAGTAGTGATCGTGGTAATGGTGTTCGTGGTAGTGGTGATTGTGGTAGTAGTGATTGTAGTAATGGTGATTGTGGTAGTGGTGATCGTGTTAGTGATTGTGGTAGTGGTGATCGTGGCAGTGGTGATTGTGGTAGTGATCGTGGTAGTAGTGATTGTAGTAATGGTGATTGTGGTAGTGGTGATTGTGGTAGTGGTGATCGTGGTCGTGGTGATAGTGGTAGGGGTGGTGGTGGTAGAGATGATGGTGGTTGCAGGGGGCCTGGTTGGGGTGTGAGTGAGGTGGAAGCTAATAATTGGGGAAGCTGCCTTATAAGTGGAGAGGGCAAGGTTGGATGGAGGCTGGCGGGTGGTGTGACGGGCTGAAGCCTCCACCCAGGGTATAGGTGAAGCACTCAGGATAGGTAAAGTCCAGAGGATAGGTGAACTAGGCTAGGCCCAGAGAATAGGTGAAGAGAGCCGGGGAATATTTGAAGCCTTGGGGATAGGTGGGGAGGGCCAGTAGACAGTTAAAGAGAACAAATGGATAGGAAATCAAGATAGGATTTTTTTTTTTAGTTTAAAACCTGATCTCCGTATTATATATGAACAATTTAATCACTGCAATTATAATTACATTCAAAGAGGAAATGATAAATTTGAAAGGATGGGGGAGGGGGGCACAGCGACTGGGGAATGGGAGATCAAAAGCGCCTTATCTTTTACATATTAATGCACTTTTCAAATGATGTTATAAAAGTATTTAAAATGTTGCAATCTATAAAAAAAATGGGATAAAACGTGATTTTTTTCTCTCACAAGGTTTCGACTCACGAAATCGTAATGACACGATTGCAAACAAACCATACCACGGGCGGGGTTTGATCCCGACCGCGGGATCAAACCCCGCCCGTGGTATGGTTTGGAAGGTTTCGACGTTTGAAGGAAGTTTGAGTCACCTCCCCTAGCATCAAGGAGGTAGGTAGGAAGGAACTGCATTGCTCAGACATGTCCCACGGAATAAGATTCTTATGGCGAGTCAAACTTCTAAACAGAAGTTTTCCCGTATGTGGCCCTTGTGACTCTGTATATATCTGTCTTAAATGTTGAAAGTAGGAGTGTACTCACCTAGTTGAGGTTGCGGGGATCGAGTCCGAGCTCCTGTGTGTGTGTGTGTGTGTGTGTGTGTGTGTGTGTGTGTGTGTGTGTGTGTGTGTGTGTGTGTGTGTGTGTGTGTGTGTGTGTGTGTGTGTGTGTGCGCGTGTGCGCGCGCGCTCACCTAATTGTGGTTACAGTGGGTCGATTCATAGCTCCTGGCCCCGCCTCTTCACTAGTCGCTACTAGGTTCACTGTCTTCCTGCTCCGTGAGCTTTATCATACATCTTAAAGCTATGTATGGTACCTGCCGAGACTACCTCACTTTCTAGACTATTCCGCATCCTGACAACTCTATGCATGACGAAATACATCCCACCATTCCTGTGACTCATGCTGTGTTCCATCTCTGGAATATCCTGTCTGTCCACCTTATCGATTCCTCTCAGTACTTTATACGTCGTTATCATGTCCTTCCTGTCCTCCAGCGTCGTCAGGTCGAGTTCCCGTAACCTCTCCTCGTAGGACATGCACTTTCTCTAGTTTCCTTACGTGCTTGGCTAGGTGTGAGTTCCAAACTGGTGCTGCATACTCCAACATGGACCTAACGTACACAGTGTACAGGGTTCTGAACGATTCATTAAGATGTTGGAATGCTGTTCTTAGATTTGCTAGGCGCCCATATGCTGCAGCAGTTATTTGGTTGATGTGCGCCTCAGGCGATATGCCCGGTGTTATACTCACCCCAAGATCCTTTTCCTTGAGTGAGGTTTGTAGTCTCTGGCCCTCTATACTGTACTCCGTCTGCGGTCTTCTTTACCCTTCCCCAATCTTCATAACATTGCACTTGATGGGGTTGAACTCCAGGAGCCAGTTGCTGGACCAGGCCTGCAGCCTGTCCAGATCCCTTTGTAGTTCTGCCTGGTCCTCGTACAATTGAATTCTCATCAACTTTACATCATCTGCAAACAGGGACACTTCAGAGTCTATTCCTTCCGTCATGTTCACAAATACCAGAAACAGCACTGGTCCTAGGACTGACCCATGTGGGACCCCGCTGGTCACAGGTGCCCACTCTGACACCTCGCCACGTACCATGACTCGCTGTTGTCTTCCTGACAGGGATTCCCTGATCCATTGTAGTGCCTTCCCTGTTATCCTTGCTTGGTCCTCCAGCTTTTGCACTAATCTCGTGTGTGGCAGTGTGTCAAACGCCTAATTGTGGTTGCAGGGGTCGATTCACAGCTTCTGGCGTTGCCTCTTTACTGAGTGTGAATGTATAAAGAAGATGAGAGAGAGAGAGAGAGAGAGAGAGAGAGAGAGAGAGAGAGAGAGAGAGAGAGAGAGAGAGAGAGAGAGAGAGAGAGAGAGAGAGAGAGAGAGAGAGAGAGAGAGAGAAATAGAGAGAAATAGAGAATAGAGAGAATAGAGAGAAATAGAGAGAAATAGAGAGAAATAGAGAGAAATAGAGAGAAATAGAGAAATAGAGAGAAATAGAGAGAAATAGAGAGAAATAGAGAGAAATAGAGAGAGAGAGGGAGGGGGAGAGAGGGGGAGAAAGAAAAATAGAGAGAGAGAGAGAGAGAGAGAGAGAGAGGGAGGGGAGGCGAGTGGGTCACAGCAGGAAGCTCACCTCTCATAAGTAACCTCTCAAGGTGTAGGTAGTTCACGCTCAAGCGCCTCTCCCTCCCCCCACACACTCAACAAGTGTGCTACCAAACACTGCTTAATGATGTTCAAAGATTATGAATTACACGAGGGTCATTAAGACTGCACGTTACCTGTTTACAACTAATCAAGAATATTTTAATATCAGAATTAGCGAATAAAATCAACTCTCGACGTATATACATTGAGACATACACTTCTCAGTGTATATATATATATATACATCCTGTGACACAAAACAACACTTCCTATAAGGAACTAACGGCTAAGAGATATTTAATAAATCCTACTAATGTTACATTTATAGTTTCCCGTCTCTGGAATGGATTTTTTTCTTACTCAGTAAGCTGAAGTAGAATGCAAGTACAATGTTGAAAGTATACGAAGAGGTAAACAAGTTAACAAGGGAGGTTGATTTACCTTGTAGCACAAAGAACAAGCTCCTCACACCAGGGCCAGCGGCGACACACTGAGATACACAACACTGACCAAGGTACCGTCTTCATCCCTTCGCCTTCCCCCACCTCTCTCTCTTTCTCTCCTGTCCCACCTCTCTCTCCTGTCTCACCTCTCCTGTCCCACCTCTCTCCTGTCCCATCTCTCTCTCCTGTCCCACCTCTCTCTCCCTCCTGTCCCACCTCTCTCTCCTGTCCCACCTCTCTCCCTCCTGTCCCACCTCTCTCTCCCTCCTGTCCCACCTTCTCTCTCTCCTGTCCCACCTCTCTCTCTCCTGTCCCACCTCTCCCTCCTGTCCCACATCTCTCACTCCATCCCACCTCTCTCTCCTGTCCCACCTCTCTCTCCTGTCTCACATCTCTCTCCTGTCCCACATCTCTCTCTCCTGTCCCACCTCTCTCTCTCTCCTTTCCCACCTCTCTCTCCTGTCCCACCTCTCTCCTGTCCCATCTCTCTATCCTGTCCCACCTCTCTCTATCCTGTCCCACCTCTCTCTATCCTGTCCCACCTCTCTCTATCCTGTCCCACCTCTCTCTTTCCTGTCCCACCTCTCTCCTGTCCCACCTCTCTCCTGTCCACCTCTCTCCTGTCCCACCTCTCTCCTGTCCCACCTCTCTCTCCTGTCCCACCTCTCTCTCCTCCTGTCCCACCTCTCTCTCCTGTCCCACCTCTCTCTCCCTCCTGTCCCACCTCTCTCCCTCCTGTCCCACCTCTCTCCTGTCCCACCTCTCTCTCCCTCCTGTCCCACCTCTCTCTCCTGTCCCACCTCTCTCTCCCTCCTGTCCCACCTCTCTCTCCTGTCCCACCTCTCTTGTTCCACCTCTCTTTCTCCTGTGCCACCTCTCTCTCACTCTCCTATCCCACCTCTCTCTCTCTCTCTTGTCCCACCTCTCTCTCTTGTCCCACCTCTCTCTCTCTCCTCTCCCACCTCTCTCCCTCTCCTCTCCCACCTCTCTCCCAAGGGAGGTTCCTTGACACTGGTGAGGGGCTCTTGATCTAGGGAACTGGTTCTGTGCTCCGGTTCCCTGAACACCTTCCATGCACTGTATAATCCTACGGGTTTAGCGCTCCCCATGATTATAATCTCTCCTGAAGTATACTGCTGAATACATCAGCAGTATACTGTTACTTTATTCTACACGATAGCTACTTAGTGGAAACAAAGGCTGTTTCCCTGTTATATTCAGTTATGCAAGATGGGGTTCCTACAAAGTGTTGAAATATATCAGCCTGAGCTAAGGACATAGAAAATATCATCATCAGCTATGGCAGCTTCAGAAGTTTCGTTCCGGCAGAACTAGGGGATTACCATCTTTCAGAATAGCCTATCTCATGCACAGGAGAAATGGATTTTTTTTTATGAAGATTATCCCTCCTTACTCCCATACCTTCCTCCACTTTCCTCCACACACTGGTTTTTTTTTTTTTTTTTTTTTTTGCCTCCTACACCCTTCTCGCTCACTCTCTCTCCTTGCTCATCTTCCTCCTCCTTAACCCCCACACCCTCCTTGCACAATTACTAGACTGAATAAATTATATTCATAATTGGGTCATACAGCACATGGGAAATGAGAGGTAATCAGGCTTGATTATAGAAAATGAAAGGAAGCTCCCATTTATTGGATAAAGAGCCCTTCACCAGCTTCAAGCCATCATCCCTTGAAGGTTGTGGTCATTTCTTCTTGATCCAGAAATGCAACATGCAGTGTTCTTAAAGAATGAAAATACATTTAAAATTTCTCAAAATTCATCCCCTTCAAGGCCTTCATAAGGGCTCCTGATCCAAGGAATTATATTTACTCTCTCATTTCTCTGATCAAACCTGCTTGCTTCCCATTCCCCAGGTGCTGCATGTTCCTTAAGAATTTAACATTTCCTCATGAATATGACAAAAGTAGCAGCATGTTTGTTTCATGATTAGTAAATAGAGGCTCAATATGCCATTACTCTATATTAATGATGACTAAAATGGGTTTAGCAAATCACAGGATTCATGAAATTTTTATAGTCATGGGGGAGAGAAGGCTAAACTTGTAAGGGTCATACTGTGACAGGAAATGGAAGCCATTCAGACTTGATTAAAGAATTGGAGCACAAATGTGAGGTTCATCTGGTTTAGTTAAGTCTATCTCTCTATTTCCAAACGGTTTCCTTGAGCCCAAAATTTTGGAGAGGGTTTGCCAGGTACTTTTCATGTCACCTTTCATTTCACTAAATCTGTTTTCATAATACATTTGCTTTGATTTACGTATTGGAACAAGATCCCCTGGCCAGTATTAAGCAACCTCCCATACTTGAAGGAATGTACCTGGAGGGTTTTCTGGGGGTCAGGGCCCCTGTGGCTGGGTCCATGTACAGGCTGCAGGGGACAGGCTTGGTGAAAAAAAACTCAATCACAGCCATTTCAAATTTTATTTATCACATAGCATGAGGCCACAGATAAAACAACCCAGAAATTCATGTACTGTAATTTGTTATGAATACTACAGTACTTTATGGTCTTTCCTTTTTAACTCCCATACAAGTCTGTGTGCATACTTATAAAAATGTACAGTCATTTTTAATATATGTTTACATTCATTAACTGAATAAAAAATGTTAAATGTATAAAACTTTTAATAAAATGAATTTAAATAAATATATGTACTGTATTAAAAAATATGAATTGTAGAACAAATTATGAGAGATACACCAAAATTAGTACACTGGAAAGATTGAATTTTTTGTCATAGCACCTTTGCATGGAGCAAAAGGAACACTGAAATTTACACTTTGAATTTTACACAGTGTATGAGTATCTGACAAAAATATATCAAACACATCACAGATAGTCTTTTTTAATCAAGATTTCACAAAATTCTCCACATTCTGGCATTACTAATAATAAGTTACTTAATAATGCCTCTCAATATGAAACAGGAATCATGAAGCAGAAAATACAGTGCTTTAGTGTAATATGTGTGAGAACATGTGTTGAATAATGGCCAAATTAAGTGTAAGATGTATGATAAAAAAAAAGTATAATGATGACCAAATTTTATGTACAGTATATATAGACTGTATTAGGTAGTGAAGATGGTGGAATGAAAAAGGTAAACACAAGGCCACATACTTTCCAAGTTTATATGAAGTGTTGTTAATAGTGAGGACATACTCAACATCTTACCATTGCATATAAAATGCCTCAAAATACTAGATTCTGAAAGGTACATATTTAGTGAATGTTTAAGTTTTGAATTATGTGAAATAATAATACTGTGAGAGAGAAATAAAAAGGTGAGCAATACAGTTGTACAGCATAGAGAAAATTTATGATCCCAGTGCTAATGATATTGGGTGACACTTAAGTGAATTTTGCTCAGAACTAAAACTAGTAATAAATGATAATACCAAGGTATAAGTTTTTGATATACTGTATATGCTTTTATTAATCTATTACTGAGCTGTATATTAGTCACAGAAATTTTGCAGCAAAGAAACAGTTCACCAGATTATATATATACATAAAAAATTCCCATGTCTGATCATTTTTTAGTAGTAGTAAGAATGAAAGTGGAAGGTGGCTATACAAGGAGATGAGTGGCAGTAAAAAAAAAGTGATGAGAAAAAAATGGGCTAAATTGTGAGAGGTATAAGCTATTGTATATATAGTTGTAGAAAAAAAGTCAGCTAGTATAAGAAGTGAACAATGTATGATGATGTATTGAAAGGATAACTGCCAGAGAAGAAAACAGATTGGTGGAAGGACCAAGTGAGGATGATGAAAGAGAAAATGATAAGACTTTAAATGACTTTAATAAATGAAAAGTACCAAGGATTCAAGGAAGGCATGCATTTTATTTTTTTTTTTACCTAATTTTTCAAGTAATTTTTAAGTGTCTATTATCAAAAGGTGGTTAATATGCTAGGAACTCTCCCCTAAGCAAGAGACGACATCAAAGATATTATACTATAAGAGAAAATAGTCGAGTTATACAGGTTTGTAGGCTAACATATGATCCCTGCTTGTTTTGAGACAAAATGTACAGAACCGTGAACCTGTGATGTAAAAGAAATTAAATTTTTAACTAGTGCAGGAGGAAAGAGGAGTGATTGGTGGAATGATGAAGTAAAGGGTGTGATAAAAGAGAAAGAGGTAGCTTATGAGAGGTATTTACAAAGCAGAAGTGTTATAAGAAGAGAAAAGTATATGGAGAGTAAAGAAAGGTGAAGAGAGTGGTGAGAGAGTGCAAAAGGAGAGCAGATGATAGAGTGGGAGAGGTACTGTCAAGGAATTTTAATGAAAATAAGAAAAAAATTTGGAGTGAGTTAAACAAGTTAAGAAAGCCTAGGGAACAAATGGATTTATCAGTTAAAAACAGAGTAGGGGAGTTAGTAGATGGGGAGATGGAGGTTTTGGGTAGATGGCAAGAATATTTTGAGGAACTTTTAAATGTCAACAAAGAAAGGGAGGCAGTAATTTCATGCACTGGCCAGGGAGGTATATTATCTTTTAGGAGTGAAGAGCAGGATGTGAGTGTGGGGGAGGTGCATGAGGCATTATGTAGAATGAAAGGGGGTAAAGCAGCTGGAACTGACGGGATCATGACAAAAATGTTAAAAGCAGGGGAGGACATAGTGTTGGAGTGGTTGGTATTTTTGTTTAATAAATGTATGAAAGAGGGAAAGGTACCTAGGGATTGGCTGAGAGCGTGTATAGTCCCTTTATATAAAGGGAAGGGGGACAAAAGAGATTGTAAAAATTATAGAGGAATAAGTTTACCGTACACTTTTCCTGGTATACTCAGTAGAGGTATTATTGAAAGAATTAGAGGTAAGACAGAATGTAGAATTGCGGATGAGCAAGGAGGTTTTAGAGTGGGTAGGGGATGTGTAGATCAAGTGTTTACATTGAAGCATATATGTGAGCAGTATTTAGATAAAGGTAGGGAAGTTTTTATTGCATTTATGGATTTAGAAAAGGCATATGATAGTGGATAGGGAAGCAATGTGGCAGATGTTGCAAGTAGTATATGGAATAGGTGGTAAGTTACTAAATGCTGTAAAGAGTTTTTATGAGGACAGTGAGGCTCAGGCTAGGGTGTGTAGAAGAGAGGGAGACTACTTCCCAGTAAAAGTAGGTCTTAGACAGGGATGTGTAATGTCACCATGGTTGTTTAATATATTTATAGATGGGGTCGTAAAAGAAGTAAATGCTAGGGTGTTCGGGAGAGGGATGGATTAAATTATGGGGAATTAAATACAAAATGGGAAGTGACACAGTTACTTTTTGCTGATGATACTGTGCTTATGGGAGATTCTAAAGAAAAATTGCAAAGGTTAGTGGACGAATTTGGGAATGTATGTAAAGGTAGAAAGTTGAAAGTGAACATAGAAAAGAGTAAGGTGACGAGAGTATCAAATGATTTAGATACAGAAAAATTGGATATCAAATTGGGGAGGAGGAGTATGGAAGAAGTGAATGTTTTCAGATATTTGGGAGTTGACGTGTCAGCAGATGGATTTATGAAGGATGAGGTTAATCATAGAATTGATGAAGGAAAAAAGGTGAGTGGTGCATTGAGGTATATGTGGAGGCAAAAAATGTTATCTATGGAGGCAAAGAAGGGAATGTATGAAAGTATAGTAGTACCAACATTCTTATATGGGTATGAAGCTTGGGTTGTAAATGCTGCAGCAAGGAGGCGGTTGGAGGCAGTGGAGATGTCCTGTCTAAGAGCAGTGTGTGGTGTAAATATTATGCAGAAAATTCGGAGTGTGGAAATCAGTAGAAGGTGTGGAGTTAATAAAAGTATTAGTCAGAGGGCTGAAGAGGGTTTGTTGAGGCAGTTTGGTCATTTAGAGAGAATGTATCAAAGTAGAATGACATGGAGAGCCTATAAATCTCTAAGGAAAGGAAGGCGGGGTAGGGGTCGTCCTTGAAAAGATTGGAGGGAGGGGGTAAAGGAGGTGTTGTGGGCGAGGGGTTTGGACATCCAGCAAGAGTGCGTGAGCGTGTTAGATAGGAGTGAATGGAGACAAATGGTATTTGGGACCTGACGATCTGTTGAAGTGTGAGCAGGGTAATATTTAGTGAAGGGATTCAGGGAAACTGGTTATTTTATATAACCGGACTTGAGTCCTGGAAATGGGAAGTACAATGCCTGCACTCTAAAGGAGGGGTTTGGGATATTGGCGGTTTGGAGAGATATATTGTGTATTTTTATACGTATATACTCCTAAACTGTTGTACTGGGCACCTCTGCAAAAACAGTGACAATGTGTGAGTGAGGTAAAAGTGTTGAATGATGATGAAAGTATTTTCTTTTTGGGGATTTTCTTTCTCTTTGGGTTACCCTGCCTCGTTGGGAGACGGCCAACTTGTTGGAAAAAAAAAAATTGTAATTAATGTATGCCAAAGGAAACTTAAGCTTTGTACTGATTAAACAAATAAAAAATCAAAATATCTATGTGCTAAATAAAAAGGAAGGATATATGAATTAGTCAAGACTTTTCAAAGGAGAAAACTAAAATATAAAAATACAGTTCTGTGTGTACTGTCCAGACGCTCAGTCATAAAAGAAATAAGGAAGAATTATTTTTCTATAAAGTAATAGGAACAAACTAACCCATCAAATGGTTTATTATGACAATTAACAAGGGACAAGCAGAATCTAAATGGTCAAAAAATAGAAAACAGTTAAAAAAATACAGTACAGTATAAAGCTTATTATGTACATGGATGAGATTATCTTGAAAGCACAAGTTAAGAGATATTCTCAATAAGAATATCTCTGCAAAGAGAAACTAACTGAAATGAACCTGGAGTCTCATTTTAAATACGGCATCATTTGAGGGAAACTAAGGGTACATTAGAAATAGTAACAAAAGAAGCACTACAAATTGCATAAATTAAAATCTAATATACAATGAGAGAGTAGAATTTGACAAGGTGGATGAGGGACGGCATTTGCTAAAGACTTTAAAATATAGACCTGTTGTAAAAATACTGGAAAAGACCATTATAGAAAAGCAATTAATATAACTGAACTAGAGAGCAAAATCCTGATATCAAACAGTTCATTTTCCAGTTAGTATAACCCTGTGTAGCCATTTAGCTATTACTGTACTGTATATTAGGTTTTGTGGGTAAGGGGCTTGGACTTCCAGCAAGCGTGCGTGAGCGTGTTAGATAGGAGTGAATGGAGACGAATGGTACTTGGGACCTGACGATCTGTTGGAGTGTGAGCAGGGTAATATTTAGTGAAGGGATTCAGGGAAACCGGTTATTTTCATATAGTCGGACTTGAGTCCTGGAAATGGGAAGTACAATGCCTGCACTTTAAAGGAGGGGTTTGGGATATTGGCAGTTTGGAGGGATATGTTGTGTATCTTTATATGTGTATGCTTCTAGACTGTTGTATTCTGAGCACCTCTGCAAAAACAGTGATAATGTGCGAGTGTGGTGAAAGTGTTGAATGATGATGAAAGTATTTTCTTTTTGGGGATTTTCTTTCTTTTTTGGGTCACCCTGCCTCGGTGGGAGACGGCCGACTTGTTGAAAAAAAAAAAAAAAAAAAAAATATTAGTCACAGAAAATATTCAGGAAAGAAACAGATGAGCAGGTCATATTTAGATAAAAAAAAAAAAAAAAGTTGATTAAGGCCCCCATTAAATACTAATATGGAAACTTCAAAATATATGAGAAGTAAAAGGGAAAATTATTACAACAAAAGAGAGTTTCTGTTTAAAAAGTAAATACAAACAATTATAAAGATAAGAATGCTATGAAAAATGTCACTCATTGGGGTTTCATACTTAGTCAAGTATTTCTAATTTCAGTAAAATTGGCTCCCTGATCAACAAAAATGGCTACACAAAGACTGAACATTCTAAAAATCCTCTTATGAGCTGATGGTAGTTAAAGAAAAGTCATATATGATCACAAAAGGATACAAGTAAATCAATAAAATTTCATAGCACCATGAATAGGGAGAACAAAAGCTACAATTGCAAACTGAGGAAAAATGGGCTGCCAAGATAAAAAGATTTTCTTCAGGCACAGAGCACTGGAATGAAGTTAGAGAAAACAGTTAGTGCTGCAAGCAATGGATTAGTTAAAAAAAATCCATGAAAATTAAACACTGAAATTGGGATATCACAAGCATTTCTCTGCTTCTTTAGATACAAATATAGGGTTGTAATCAACAAATAAGTAATCTCCACATACAAAAATAACCGCATTCAAGAATCTTAATATGGTATTCAGTTATCAAACAATACAATGATATCTCTATAATATTTTATCACTCAAAAATTTATTGCTTATCAATTTTTTTTTACCACATAATAAATTCGAACAGTATGATTTTTCCCTCACATCACAGCAATCAAATCATGAAAACAAAAAGAAATGTAGCCATTTCAAGTAAATGAATTAAACTCAGTGATTTTTTTTTAACTAAAGTTTAATTTTTCACTTACGTACTAATAGATGTAATATTGTACTGATGTTTAAATGGTGAATATAACAAAGCTCATAGCAGATTATTAGGGAAAAAAATTAATAAACAAAATGAGAAAGGGGACTTTACTTTCCCAGAATAATTGAATAAATTTGCTATTTAAATATCAAGTACCTTTGTATAAAAATACACTTATGTACAAGTATTTATTTCCACACACTATGGGGTGATTTTGTAAAACGAATACATCATTTTGAAAACACTGCACTTAAAGCAAATTACATGCCCTAAATATTGTCTATTTCTAAGCCTATTATTTTTTACTAAAAATTTAAAAATTTATTTATCTAACTGCAAGCAGCTATGTACGTATATTAGAAAAATATCGAGTGTTTTTGACCAGCTAAAACTTACACATCAGTCCATTGGCATCAGTATTGTCACTACAAGCACATATTATCCCTACCTTTTTATTAGCATGAATTTCTATTTTCATTCTTTCATTTTAAACAACTTTAAAAGTCACCTAGAAATAACACATAAAGATTCCTTTGATGATAAATTTTATATATTGTTTTAAAGCTTTAGGTACTTAACCCTTAAACTGTCCAAACGTAGATCTACGTTCGCTTCGCGAAGCGCTCCGAATGTAGATCTACGTTTTTTTTACATTCTTTTATGGAGAAAATTCAGGTTGGAGCACTACGCGCACAAACGTAGTTTCTACATTTGGACAGTTTAAGGGCAAATTTATTGAGCTCTACATGCAACATGATCAGCAAAGCTGTGTTTACTGTACTGTGTAAGAGTGCATGTGTAATTACAGTACCTATTTGAATTTGCAGGGCTTGAACTCCAGCTCTTGGTCCAACATTGCATGTGCATTTTCATGTGTGAGTGTATTTACTTTAGTTGAGTTTGTAGAAGTCAAGTTGTAATTTACAAGAGTCTGCCTCTTAATTTCCATAAACCTAATGTGATCTAACTCTAATAATTTTATATTCATCAATAAGCATGTGTTTGTAGATGTTTTAAAATTTACATTACAAACATACCTTAATCCAAAATACCTATGTACTGTATTATTTTTTTTCAAATTCTCATTTATAAATGTAGAATTTTGAGCACTTTTTTAACTGCAATGTTTATTTGCATAATTAGGCTTTGACAGTGATTATTGTGAATGATGGTGAAAGTGTTTCTTTTTTTGGGGCACCCTGCTTCAGTGGGAGATGGCCGGGATATTGGAAAAAAAAAATTAGGCTCTGCCAAAAATATGTTAACACACTGTGTACCAACCAGAAGAATGCTCCTCCAGTGATTAAAACTATCCTTGCATAATTTTTTTTCACTTTTTTAGTTATTGCCACATTCAATAAAAAGAAATGGAAACTACATTTCAATTCTCTATTAAAATTTGTACCTTAAAACATACAAAAAATATCCATATACTGTTTTGTATACAGGCATTCCTTAATTCACACTCGCCAACTTATGCGCCCCACATTTATATAGTTTTTTTTCCTAGCTAGATAGCTCATAAAAAATAAAATTTCAATGTATGCATTTGGTTCTTAGGAACAGAACCCCTATTAATAACACTGCAGAACCAATTAGTTTGTAAAGTGCATGGGTCACCTGTATAGAGTTTGAAGTTTCTAGGTTATTTTATGCTAAGTGATAATTTTGGGAATTTGGGAATAAATTTCTATAAAATACTTTATTAAATATTCGATGATCATCTGTTTTAAAAACTAAAAGAAAAAAAAATACAAAACATTTTCTTTTCTATCAAATACAAAAGATTAACATTTTGGTACTCTGCCCGTATCTCTTGTTAATCAATTCTTTTAATTTTCTCTCATGTATTCAGACTTTCTATATATATTATTATTATTTTATAATCAAAAAGAAGCGCCCAAGCCACAAGGGCTATTTCTATATATAATTTTACTGTATTGCACTACAATTATGATAGCTTTTTTTGTTCTTAAACCTATTCAGATTAATCTGACTTTATCTTTTCATTCCCACAAACATTTTACACCTTCAATACTGATAATTTATCTGCACTTCAAATACCTGTACTTTAAAAATTTTAAAAAAAACTCCTAAATTATTGAAGATAACGATATCCTAAAATAAAGCAGTGAGATGGATTTTACTTTTCTAGGTGATCCTTTAGCAATGGCAATGGATCATTTGTCTAGAGAAATTAGCATATAGCATTAACCCTTTGAGGGTCGACAGGCCCTCTCCGAAAAATCGTTTCTCAGGTCGGCCAAATTTAAAAAAAAAAATTTTTTTCTCTTATGAAAAGATAGAGAATCTTTTCCCGATCATAAAGACCCAAAAAGTTTGAAATTTGATAGAAAACTTACGGAATTTATGCTCTCGCAAAGTTAGCGGTCTCGGCGATGTTTACGCATCGGCGTTTTTTTGCCCACTTTGGCCCCATTTTCGGCCAATTTCACTGTACTAGTCGACAAAAAACATGAATATTTCGCTAGAACTCCATTTTTTCTATCGAATGGGTGCAAGAAACCACCCATTTATGAAATTCAACTATCCAGTACAGTGGTCAGAATTTAGCAATTTTGCCAATTTCACACAAATTTCAAAAGATGCCAATTTCCGAATAGGGTCCAGAATAAACAAGAAAGACATTCCTGGCACTAAAATAACATTTCCTCTAGTCATTAGTCACGTCTCAAGGCCCCTCTTATATTCTTTTGCTTTCCACTTTGAATTTTTATTTTCACAAAAAATATAAGATTTACTGTTATGCAGACTACTGCATTAGTGTAAAAAATGGTTTACATATTATTGGTGCACTTGTGAAAGAATATTAGACTCACCAGTTGCACGTGTATTGCACGCTTGGCACGATTTGTTTACTTTTGAAGTTTGGTAAAAATCAAACATTTCTGCTACTTTGAGCTCAATTTCAAGGCACCTTTCATTGTAAAACCAGTCAAAATCATCTCAATTTCTGTAATATGTCTTCCATTCTATAAAATGAGACCAAGAAAACTAGAATACAACAATAAATACCATATGAAAATACACTGCAAAGTCGCTGATTTATTAAAAAAAAATGGTCAAAGTTTTTTTTTTCTCATTATGCACTGTGTGCTGCAGGATTTTTTTTAGACTGTGCACACTGACCACATAGACCCATTCTTTCATATGAAGGCCTACCAGCTTTCTCCCACTAGATTTGAGGCCGCTAGAATTTATGAGTACTAGTACGTCAAAAACCCCTACGCGTAAGACGTACTAGTACGACCAAAACCCTCAAAGGGTTAAATTCCCTAAAAGTGATGTATTATTGTCTTCAAAACTTAAAAACTGATTGAATTTGTTTCACCCTTATGTTAAAAGCACTCTTTACAATTTGTTATTAAACTTATTACAATGAAAATATGAAGGCCAATTTATTAGATTTCACTACCTCACAAAAATAGACTGATATCTATCATGGTGAAACAATATAGAAAAAGGAAACTTAATGCCCTGGTTATTAAATAATGAGAGACCCACATCTAAATAACCCCTTCTGTCAAAGCTTGAAATACCTTATACCTAAATACATATGAATAAAATAGCTTTTCTATGTAATAAATATATCTATTCTACTTTACGGAAGGTAATGTTTACTTCCATTCTTCTGGATACTTAAAATTTCATTTATTTTCTACTCAAAATATTCACGGCAATCATTCAGCACTTCACACTATGTGTTGTAACTTGCACCAGTTACAGTAACCAATACTGTTTTTGCTACTGAAATATGAAATCCAGAATGTATATAAAAATAGGATATTTTTTATTAAAATCTAATTGCCAGTATGACCAGGCTTACATGAAGCTGCAGCATTATGACTAATCACCCAAATTATTACAAGAATGCACACTCCACAAGTATGATCTCTCAGGTATGATGAATAAAAACATTATAAAGCAAAAAGAATAAATCACTGTTGTCACTGTCCTACATTAGACTAATGTTACCCATTCCTGCCCAAGAGAATGCTACCCTATGTTAGCTGGAAATGGGACAAAGTTTAAATTAACTTACAGAAAAAAAAAAAAAACACTTTGGCAATATTGAGAGAGTCATAGTATTGGATTACTGTGTATTCATTGAATAAATTATAGTGAGCAAATCCTGAAAGATTCTCATCTAATGAATAATTAAAATTACCCAATACTTATGAATAATTTTTTTTATTCTAAGGAAGAGGTCACAGCCTTGTGTGAATTTGGTTCAAACTCTTTCCCAGTTAATGTTCACGGAACCTCAAAAATCACGTTTTATTTACTTATCTCAGTGATATAGAAACACTCTTACCATACGCATTTGTTTTTGCGACCTAATCCTTGCAAAACTTCTCCACTTTCTAAAGCCCCTCGAAAAATTTATGCAAGTTCCTCGGATTGCTTAAACTTTTCTAATAGTAAGGCACACTGAAAGTCTGACATTACTATATTATTTAGCTCTTTACAATCTGCATGAAATGAGCTTTAAATTCAAAGTTTTGGTAAGATATGACTATTATGTGTAGATGGACAAAAATTAATAATGACTATTGCCTCAATACAGTACTGCACATAATATACTGCAATTTGAGTTCAATGAAATATATATATGCTTAAATTTTTTACTGCCAACTTTTGGTACACTTTCTTCACCCAATTTATATGCAAATTATGCTGCATAAAGCTGACCAGGTTACAAGTTTAAAAGTAATATATGTTGGATATGAATGAGCTAATACAGGATGGTTCAACTAAAACCCCATGGGCTGCTTGTGGTCTGCAAGGTGATACTTTGTGGCATGCAAACTCTCACATTAAAAAAAAAAAAGGATAACCTTAGGAAGAATAAAATGTACAGAATACACAGTATATTGAATTTGTTAGCATGACGTTATATTTTTTCAGGACTGCTTAAGTAATACTCTCTTTTATGTGAAAATATAGCTAGTGTGAGAAAAACTTTCTGATTGGGCACTGCGTCTAGTTACACATCATGTACACTATGTGAACCAAAGCAGTTATATCTAGTTGTGATAAATATGCCTGTCTGCATTAGTCTCTTCCCTGCAGTTGATGTGTACTAAACAATGGCAGTGTGTGTAACATTTACCAAGAGTTTGGGTGACATACAAATTCCATCCCTCAAAATGAATGTCAACAGAAGAAAGATTTTTGAGGAAAATAGGACATTAGTCATCAAGTATGAAGTTTTTCTTTCATGAAAATAATGGGAAGATGCTTCACCTTGTGTGTTGATAAACTATAGCTGTTCCATAGGAGTACACTATATATTTGGTGGGATTTGGAGAGACTACACAAGAACAGGTATGACCAGTATATAGGAAGCTCAGGCTATTAAAGTCATTTCTCACTCTATTCAGGTTCATTATATGTAAATTCACTTTTATGCAATGCCCCATTTCTACCAGTAATTCCTGTGTAAAATACAAATTCACTCTCATACAATTGGTGCAGTTCACAAAACATAATGAATAAAACTATACAGTAATAACGAATTAAAGTGTTGATGACCTAATTGAGATTACTACAGCTGCCATGGACCTGGAATGCCTTTACTATATAAAGCAAGGAGCACATGCATATTTTACACAATCTTACAATTAATATCACTGAATTTTGCACTGAGTTCTATGACTTGCAATCCTTGAAATGGTGGACCACTCTGATCTAATGTGTCATTGTAACCCAATGTGATTTGAGTACAGTAAGGACAGGGATATGAGAAGGGTTAAAGTGCTGGAGATACTTTTGTCTGCCTTGGTTCCCCAGATGAAAGTAAACTGTAATATGAATATTTATTTATTTTCCTAATTTAATGTCATATAATGCAGTTGTAATATTATGCAACAAGGTTTCACAGCAAAAATTTTAAATGCTGTCAAGTGAAAGCAAATTATGACTACTTCAATATCATATGGAGTTTGTAGTGTCCAGGAAGAAAGATTGGGGTGATTAAGAGAGTAGATGTCATCCCCTTCCCGAGCAAAGAAATACTACTATTACTGCTACCTGAAACACTACTAAAACAGGTGTTTTGAACTTCAAACCTGAGGTGAGCACTCAGAACAAAATTAAAGTTATAGCAATTTAGTTTTTGTCAAAATAAAACAGTGGGGAATTTTTTTTATATTTTTAAGTTCAAAATAGTTAAGTAGTAGCCCACTATGGTAAAAGTGGCAGGAAAGACAACTGGATATCCCATTTTTACAGATACTATAATAAGCAAAATGTTATAGCTCTTATGATCAAGACAAAAGTTTGAGGATTAAGCAAAATTGTCAACAAAACACCTTAAATGGTTAGAGAATGTACATTCTAAAATCTATATGTAATATGCTAATTATAACATAAAACATATATGTTCAAAAGCAAAAAGTTAATTTTGTTTTATTACATAAAACCAGACAATCTACCTGACTAATTCAGTAGATTATATTTGCAAACCATGATAATTAACTGGTCCCAAGATTGGTATAGACCAGATCCACAGTCATGAACACAGGGCTATATTTATATAGCCTTTGCTCAATAATATTCATATACAATAATGTTTTTTTGATGCAATTACTTATTTCACTCCTTGGGTGTTCACTGCACAGCATGCAAATAAAACCAGACATTTTACTTGACTTATTCACAAACCATGAAAATTAACTACTCAAAGACATCTTACTTCCTGGCTAGCAAGAATATATGCTTCACCCAAGCAAGTTCTTTGTTCATAAAGTCATCACTCCATCTACAAATTTATCCAAGAACCTTGAAACTCAAATTTATTTATCTATTTAGTGTTCTGTTAATTTACTTTCTGGTTAAAAAATCAGTACAACACACTGACATTCTTTACAATAAAAACATGAAACTAAAATACATGCACTGACAATCGAGTAAGTGCCTACAATACCTTTTGTGATACACGGAGAAAGATACACTTCAAAATTGTCAGTTCTCATCAGAACCAAGCCTCTAAAACAAAGAAGCAAGCAATGTTAAAACTTACAGTGAACTAAGAAGCAAATTTTCATCCAAAATTTCAAAGTATGGCTATGGGCATGAAGAAGCACTTCCTTCAGTTGACTTAATTCAAAGTTATATAAAAAATTATAAACCTGATTATGTGATTTTTCTTTTACAAATAGCTGCATCCACATAATAATATAATATAAAGAAGAAAACTGCTCTTGCTGATCAAAATGGTGATGCACCTAACTGATCAAATCCTTTGCTAAAAAGCACCCGAGAAGTTGAAGAAGGAATCCAGGAGTTGCAGTGCCTCAGTGGTGTATTATGATGCAACAGCTTGGATGGAGCAGTGTTAGCAGCTGATGAGTGATGAATGCGAGAGCAATACGGAGATGGCCAACTGCAAAATGAAGAAAAATTAAGCACTAATATACTGTATACTAACAGAGATATATTTAACACTGGTCTACAATCAAAATGGTATGGAAATAAAATTAGTCATTCATTACTAATTTTGGGTCACTGAATATGGAAATGCAAATTGCAAATTGGCTCTATTTATAAAAATATCATAAAAATATGATACTACACTTCAGATGCCCCTCTAAACTACAAATATCCCCACCCTAGTAAATAGTGGCAGGTACATATGTATATACAGTATAATGCAAGTGACAATTAAGAAACAAAGCAAGAACTAATAAAGACATTGGCAAAAATAAAAATTCAATTTTCTCTTGAAATCAGGCTGAACACCCCTTCAGTACTGCTTTTAAAGTACCATACATTGTTAATTCATGCAAAACAAAAATAATGTATAGTAAATATTGTATAATGTACATTATAAATTTAAATACAAACACAATACAGAGGTCCCTTGAGTTACGATATTAATTTGTTCCAGAAGATGTAGTGTATCTAATAACCATCATAACTCAAGCACCAAAATACATGGTTTTATGGTAATTTGTTCCAAAGCTCCAGTAGCACAACTTTTACTGTATCTTACTGTACCATCTCACATGCCAATGCACTAATTCTAACTCCATGTTTTTTTTTTTTTTTTCATAATTTCTTGCTTGACCTCCTCTTCAAGGGGGGCTCCTTGGCGTGGTGAAGAGGCTCTTGGTCTGAGGAATTAGCCCTGTCGGTCTTCTTCCTCAGACCGAACCTAATTACCCCCCATTCTCCCCTCCCCTATCCCATCCTCCCCTTTTTCCATTCCTCCTCCTCCTCCTCACCCCTCCCTTTTGCCCTTCCTCTTTTTGGCCTTTGGGATTTCTCCTACAGGCGCGCTAGTTCCTAGGTAGGGGAAAGGACACCGGGGTCCATCCCATTCCGTTGAGGTTCTTGGCAGTGGCGTAGTTTGCCGTGGAATCTGGATTGCCTGGGTATGTTTCGATCCCTCTCCGGTATCCCGGAGTAGCTTTGGGTGTCTTTCGGGCGATGGGTGTATCTCTGGAAGCCACCTTTCGGATTCTGGGGGTGGTGGCCAAAGGAGGTATGCTTTGTGGCGGATATCCGGCCGCCCTCTCTTTTGTCCACCGAGGTAGCTCGGCAGATGTGAGGTTGCTATCCCAGATTGCTGGTTTACTGGCATGAAGGGTAGGGTATGGCACGGGTTCCATGCTGCATCTGCACTACTAGCGGTGCTGAGGTCCTCTTGGGCGCGGAGGGAGATTTCCGGCCCTTTCATTCCTCCTGGGAACTATTCCTCCCCGCTCCCCCCTTTTTTTCTTTTTTTATTTTTATTTTCTTTTCTTCTTTCTTTTTTTTTCTTAAAAACAAAAAGCAAAGGAGTAACCTAACCATGGCAGCCCTAGTCCATGAACCCACTACCCCCGGGCCCCTTCTTGATACCGCACCCCATTCTGACCCTGCCTGTGTTAGACCACTCTTCGGACACTCCTGATGCCCCTGTACCTCTTGCTGGTGCTGTTTCCTCACCCGCTTCAGGTACCGGGGCTTCGACTGACTCCTTCGATTTGTCTGAACTCCGCTCTCCTTTGACTATGCTTCCGGCTTCTCCCTCTACGGTACGGCAATTTTTGAATCGCCCGCCCATTTCACGCCGGACCAACTCCGGTCCTACTCCTAAACGCCAACGTCAATCTCCTGATGATGCTCCTTCGTTACCTTCCCATTCTACTCGGAAAAGACCAACACTCAAGCACTCCCTCTCCACGCTCAGTTTCGGACCACACAATGGACTAAATTCTTTACTTTAAGACCGACTTCTTCTTCTGCCTACCTTTCTGACCATAGTATTGGCAAAGCGCTCCTCGTCATTTTGGTAGAGATATTTCATTTCATGCCTCAAGGCGTAGCGCATCGTCACTGTCCAGAATGCTACCCAAGTCATGATCTTTCTCTCCTTTCGAAATCGATACACCCCACACTATTGAAAAACTTTTTCTCTCAATTCTTTATGGACTGCCCATTCTCCCCCAAAACCTAGTCCAACAGAATTTCCAGTCATGTGGCAATGACATTTTTGAACACGGGAACTCCAGGATCCCCAACCCCAAAAGTAGACATTTATTCCTTCCTGCCCGGGGCGGAGACGTACCCTTGCAATGGGCTCGTTTAATTTTTGACAGCCGAAAACCCTGTCCTTGTATAGCCGGGACATGGGTTACAATTCAAAAGGTAAACCCTACACCGCAACAATGTAGAAATTGCGGGGCGTTTTGCACCCAAACGAAATATTGCGATCTATGGCCGAATGCCCAGTCTGTGGGCCGATGACCATTTAATACATCTTGCGTCAACCTCCATCTTGCCTTAATTGTAATGAAGCTCACCCTTCGACTCCCCCGTTCCAGGTCTACTTAAATGAACGTAAAAACCCGTTCCCTAAAAGGGGCAAAGTCCCCCTTATCTATGGCATTACTCTCTCCGCTCCAAAGGAGACAAAACCCCCGTGTTTCTTATTCTCGTGTTTCCAAACATCCCCCCACTTCTGGGTCCCATCTTCGCAGGCTCCTCTATTGTTACCCCCCCCCAAAACCACTCCGGCATCTAATCCTTTTGCTTCCTTGCTCGACGCCCGACTACAACTCATCGTTTTCAATCTTGCCCTTCCTCACAAGCCCCATATCGACAAGACCTCGACACACTAATACCAACGCCCCTCACTCTCAAAGTCCAAAAAATCCACTTTGCTCAAATTTTTCTTTCCCCCTTTCCCTTTCCCTTCTTCCCCCTCCACACTTTCCCTTTTCCCAGTCTCTGTCCCAGTTCTTCCCCTCTCCTGGTTCTTTTTACAAGTGGGAGTTTCCCCCTCCTCCTCTACTATCCTTCCACCCCCTCCCCTCCCAATTTTCTCCCTTTTTTCCCACCTCCCAGGTTTTTGCCTCTTCTGTCCCCCCCCCCACACTTCATCCCCATCCCTTACACTCTTCCCCCCCCCCTCCTTTGGTACAGCCCCCTTCTGTCCCAATCTTTATCACCCCCTCCTTCTATCTCCAATATGGTCCCCCAACATTTTTGAATTCAGAAACACTTGAACCATTTCAGAAAAATTTTGCAGAGACAAAACCCTTTCAATGACACTGATCACTTCCCTGTTCCTTCTTTTCCCCTCTCCCCATCTTCACAACCCCCATTCTTCGCAAAGCTCCGTTCCTCGCTACTTGAACGTTTCCAATGCACCAACTTGACTTTTCTAACCCCTCTATCCGAGGGCCTTTTACAGATTCCTGGTTTTTTCTTCATCGCCAATCAGGCCTATTTACAGTGGAATATCCGCGGCCTCAGGGAATCGGGTGAGCTTCAATGTTGCTTTCATTTTTTCCCCTGTTGGGTTCCTTAAAGAACCAAAATTACACCGCTGTTTCCCAAACCCATCTAGGCAAATTTATTGTATTCTTCAGATCCTTTCTCAAATGGGACCTTTAATGAAAGTGCCCTTCTTCACGCAATGATATTCCGTACTGTCAATTTTTTGTCCATACCTCGCTGCTTACACTGCAGCCCGTATCCACTTGAATAAGGGGTTTTAACAATATGTTCTTTATATCTCCCCTCCTTCTCGAGCTTTTTCTATCCCAGACTTTGCCTTTTTTTTTTCACCCTTACCACCACCCTTCTGTTATTGGTGATTTTAATGCCCACCTTTTTCCTCTGGGGGGGGGCTCATTGTGATCACGGGGCATCCAGTTGGGGGCTTTTCTCGCCTCTCACCCCCCCACTTTTTAAAAATCGGGTACTCCCACCCATTTTATCCTCGACCAACTCCTCTTGCTCGATCATCAGTCTGCTTTTCCTCCCTGCACTAGATTCACCTGGTCTTTCTCCCGGGACTTACATGGCAGCGATCATTTTCCGATCATTCTTACTTCCCTTTCCTTTCACCACTTTTCCGGGGGCCCCTCGCTGGAATTTGATGGGGCAAATTGGGATCTTTACCACACCTCATGTTTTTTAGTGGGTTTCCCTTTCTTCATCCTCCATTGATGAGCCCTACACATCTTCTCGACGTCATTTTTATACCGCAGCTTCCATTCTATCCCCAAACCCAGGGCAGGCTTTCTCAAAAGTGGTGCCTTTTGGGGGTCTCCTCTTGTGCTCGTGAAATAGTTTGAAACGGCTGCATGGGGCAGGTACCGGTACAATAAAACCCGAGAGACTTTTTGATTTTAAGCAGAAGATGCGATCGCTCGCCGTGCACCGTGAAGCAAACGCCTTGTTTTGGGGAGACTATTTTCCACCATCACCTCTGCTTTTTTTATGATGCAGTCCCGGAAAAAAGTGAGGAAAAATTGGTTAAATCTCTCCTGACCCGGCTCCGTTCTACGGTCGCTGGGTTGATGTAGCAAACCCCCTCGACGTTGCCGTTGAACTTTGGGACACACTGGTCCGTATTTCCCGAGGCTCCATCTATGCCCCCGTTTCTTTCCTCAAAATCTGCCAAGAGTTAGTACCCTTGGACTTTTCTTCTCTCAGAGAAGAACAGGAAATGTGCCTTTTACACTTCAAGAACTGGGCAACGCTTCAGCTTGCCGATCATCGCGCTGGCCTGACGACATTCATACTATGTTACAACATTTACATCGGGCAGCCCTTGTTCCTCTTCCCTCTTCAATCTTTTTGGGGACAAGGAGTTCTTCCCCAGCTGTGGAAATCGCCTTGGGGTTTCCCCCTTTCCCCAAACCGGGACTACAGGAAGATGCCTCCCACTACGTCCCATCCTCTTACTAGTGCAGTTTGCAAAGTGATGGAAAGTCTCGAAAATCGACGTTAAAGTGGTATTTAGAGACCCCAACAGTCTCTCCGCTAGCAATATGGTTTCTAAGGCCGTTCTTCCGTAACCCCTTACACCTTTGGGTACTATGTTTGTATGCCTTTGCGAATAAACACTCAGTTATTGCCCAAATTTTTGACCTTTAAAGGGAAGACACAACTTGGAGTTTATTTTTGGCCCAGGCCCATTCCTTAGGCCTCCGAGGCAATCTACCATCCTTCTTAAGAACTTTTTTAAATGCAGACATTTCCGTGTTTTGAGTCAAATGTTCTTTCCCCCGGCTTCGTCCAAGCTGAAGGTGTCCCTCAGGGATGTTTCTAAAGCACAACCTTTTTCTCCTTTCATAAATGATTTTGGGCCCCTGTTCTTCCACCCAATATTTGGTCATCACTCTATGTTTTTTGACTTCGCTATTTCTTGTGCAGGCGCTGACTGTCACTTATTGCAGTTTCTCTCCAGCATGCGGTCGAAACCCTGTTTCCACTTGGGCCACCACGCTGGGTTTTAAATTTTTCAAGTACCAAAACCACCAAATTACTTTTACTAACCTCTTTATCTCCATCACCTTTGTATCCTATGGCTCCGTATCCCCGAACTGATACAGTCAGGTTTTTAGGCCTTCTCTTGACCGTAGGTTATCCGGAAACCTCACATTACTCCTAAAGGCAACTTTCACAGCCGGCTAAACCTTCTTTAAAAACCCCGCTCATCTTTTCCCGGGGAGCTGTCTCACTCTGCTTCGCCTACATTCAGCCCTCGTTTTTTTGAAACCGATTATGGTGACCAGATTTATTCCGCGGCCTCTCTGCTACTCTCTCTAGCCTTAACCATCCATCACCAAGGAATATGTTTGTGCCTTGGTGCTTTTCGCTCTTCCCTGTTGAGAGCCTCTAACAGAAACGAATGTTCCATCCTTGCTGATCGCCGTGATGCCCCCTTTCCTTCCTACTAGTACGCTCTCACATCTACACAATCCTTCCATTTATAGAATGGGCACCGATATTAGTAGACATTCTTTATTCGTTCGCCCGCCCCTGTTTGCTCCGTCCCTTTTTTCTTCGCCTACATTCACTCTTGTCTTCCCTTTATTACCACCTTTTTTATCTTCATGTAGCATCTCCTTTTCCCCACCCCCTGGGGAAATTCCCGCTTTGGGTCTGTTTTTCTCACTCCCTTTCTCGAAAGCTCAACTGCCTACGGGGGCTTCCCCTCTCTTTTTCTTGATCATTCCACTCCCTTTTTCATGCCACCGCTGTGTACCCAGATGGCTCTAATCTTCAGACGGGGTCGATTCACACATGTTTTTCCCGGGAAAACGTCGTGCGGGGCATTTACTACTTCACTACATTTTTACTCTGAAAATGTATGCCCTTTTTTTGAGCACTTTTTCGTTCGCATCTATGCCTGTGCCCTCATTTTTTGTAGTCCAGCTCCCTTATGCTCACAGGCTTACGAAAATTTGATACATCTCATCCCTAGTTCTCCACCAAATTTGGCTACGCCGTATCTCTACCAAAAATAAAGATATTGTTTTTTTGTTGGTCCCTGGTCATGTCACGTAAGGGCAATGAAAAGGAACACTCTGCGCGGTCAGCAGTACATGACCTCCAATTTCCTATCGAGGTGTTCCATTTCCGGGGCTATTTTGCTGCAATAGCTACCCACCTTCCACCCGTTTTGGGAACAACGTTTGGCAAATCCTCGGTAAAAAACTTCATCATTAAACCGAGCATAGGTTACTGGCTGTCTTCTTGTCTCAGGGGAGGTTGGGAGACCACTTCTCCCGCCTTCGCATTTGGGCCCCACTCGTCTTACTCAATTGGGGGGATCTCATGGAGGCACCCTGTTCCTCTCTGTGAGCAGTGTCAGTTCCAGGATCGATTAGCCACATTTTGTTGACCCCTCTCTATCAACAAGCCGCAGAATTTTTCCCCTAACGTCATCTTTTTCTACACTCTCTCTTTACCTTCCCTTCTTGCTGAGGACCCCCTTTAACCTACTCTCTCATTGACTTCTTGACAACGACTGATTTACTCCACAAACTCTGATGATACTTTTCGCACTCCCCTCAGCCTTTTCTAGTTCAGTCTCTTGCTGCCCTTTACCCTTTCACCATCCACTACCCCGCTGTTATCCGTAACCTATTACTCATCCATCTCCCTTTTGCCACCTGATGCCCTCGCTTCCTTCCTGCCCTGCAGCGCTGTATAGTCCTTGTGGCTTAGCGCTTCTTTTTGATTATAATAATAATAATCTTGCTTGACCTTAACAGAAATTGCCTATTTACTCCACACTTTAGGAGCTATGATGACTTAATAACACAAAAAATGGTGTAATTAAATCACAAATGCAGTAATGAAGGATAAAAAATCCAGAGTTGGTGTGGGCAACACACAAATTAGCTTCAAACTGAAGAGGACACAATACACTGTAGAATAAATGCTGCTATTGGTCGAAATGCTATCATACAGACATTCATTCCCATCACTGACTGGCTGCTAAGCCACCCCTACACACCTCCACTGACACTCCTATTTGCTCAGATGCTGCCCAAGAGGCAAGCTACCACATCACTGGTTGTCTGAGGCCCACCCACATGTGCTGACCATCACATGCATATCGTATCTCAAATTTTTCATTGCAACTCGAAACCAAATCCTATTATGAGGATAAATTGTAACTCAAGGGACCACTGTATATGTATAAAAACATAACATGCAGTACATATATATACAGTATAAATACAAAAAACACCAGTATTTTCAAACCTATCTCTCTGCACTTTTGAGTAAGAAGATATCAGGTGATACCACTGGGATACGTAAGGATACTTCATTTCGTCCACTTCTCCCTCTCCAATGGCTGCTAGCACATCTGCATCCACTTTACTGGCTTCCAGACTGAAACACCAATGCCAGGAATATAGGACACTCAGTATATCTGTCTCACTAACAATTATCTTTATACTGTATATGGTACTTCACTTCTCAAATGTCATCCTGCTTTCTAAATCCTTTAATTATGTATCACAAAGAACTATAGCCATAGTACAAAATGAATTGAAATAAATGGAGTGGCAATGTCCCCAAAGGCAACAGTTTAAAGGTCAACTATTCTGTACAGAGAATTTGCATGGAGAACCTTTAAATGACATTTCATTTGATGCTGGATTCTCAAGTAACAAGTGGTCTAGTATGAAATGAAACACTGTCAAAAAGTCAACTCCTGCAGCCACATATAGGCGAGTGCAAACACAAATGCATACATTAGCCGGAATTTGACTCCTGTTACCACACACAGGTGAAGCATGTACATATAAGTGAGTACACACATACATACTCTAACTCACTCACTCTCTGGTATACAGAATAATGTGAAATAAATACTGACCCATTTAACAAAACTTACCCATTAATGTAGACTTCAACACCTTCATCTGGGGTGGCCATTACATCTTCAACAGAAGAGGCTGCTGTGGCATAGCTGTCACTATCACCATCTTTTTCCAAAATTTCCTCAACATCTGTTGAAAATGTTTCACCTTCTACTTCATTATCTTCCTTCTTTACATTTTTAATAACATTCTGGAATACGTTTACACCATCTTTCACGTTTAAAGTTGCTGTTAATACTTCCTCCTCTTCATCCTCAGAAAACACTAATTTCTTAACACAGTCTTCATACTGGCTGATTTTCTTCACGTCATTTTTACTTTCATTAAAAATAGTTTGATGAAGAAATTTGAAGGCTTTTGTGTATTTTGTGTTACTGATTGGTGTCGATCTAAAATCATCTGAGCGAGCAACATTTGCTGGAGCATTCCAAGAACAAGTACACTCACCAAGACGCATCAGACTTAGCTTCATATTTTCCTTATTAGTAATGTTTACATCTGTAGCACAATTATTATACACCATGTTTAATGCTTTGTCAAGACACTGCAGTACACATGTGCAATGTTCTGCATTACTGTGTTTCTCTTCATTAATGATAACTGGTTTTGTTGTGTCTTCTTCGTCAGATGAATTTAGCTGTAGAAAATTTAAACGAGACACAAAAATTTTCATGGTTTCTGCTAACACACATATATCAGAAGGCATCAGATTCTGCTGGACACTTTCAGTAACCTTAGTTGCTAAGAGAATGTGAATGAACCCAAAGTCAATGTTCTTTTTCTCTTCGTTTGTACAACACTTACTAACAACATTCTTTAAGCACAAAATTTCTGGCTTCAACTTGGTTCGAACTGTTCTGGTCATAGATAAGTTAGCAACAGAGTTTGATTGAAGATCCTTTGCTAAGTCTGCCATGATTTCAGCCAGCCGGTGTGTAGCAACATCAACAGATTTTATTATATATGACATCTGTTGTGCTGCAGCCTCCTGCTCTACCACAGCCTTCATCACCTCCTTTGGGTTAGTTCCAGGTTTATTTTCTTTAGGTCTAGAGGATGCCAGGAATTTACTGAAAAGCAAAAAAATCTCATTTGTAAACCACAGCACCATCAAATAATTTTTATTCGCAAAAACTAATTACTGTAGCTAATAAAAACTTTTACATGCCAGTACAGCATAAACAAAATACAGTACAGTGGACCCCCGGTTAACGATATTTTTTCAATCCAGAAGTATGTTCAGGTGCCAGTACTGACCGAATTTGTTCCCATAAGGAATATTGTGAAGTAGATTAGTCCATTTCAGACCACCAAACATACACGTACAAACGCACTTACATAAATACACTTACATAATTGGTCGCATTCGGAGGTGATCGTTATGCGGGGGTCCACTGTACTTGTGTTTTCAGAAAATGTACATGTTTATATAGGGGATACCGATATATCAGATCATTATTTAGCTGTAGCTACAGTTAGAGTAAGAGGTAGATGGGGCAAAAGAAAAATGGTAACAGCAAGTAAGAGAGAGGTGAAAGTGTATAAACTAAGGGAGGAGGAAGTTAGGGCGAGATTTTATCAACTATTGGCAGAAAGGTGGGCTAGTGCAAGTATGAGTAGTGGGGGGAGGGGGGTTGAATAGGGTTAGAATAGTTTTAAAAATGCAGTATTAGTATGTAGGGCAGAAGTTTGTGGCTACAGGAGGGTGGGTGCTAGAGGAAAGAAAAGTGATTGGTGGAATGATGAAGTAAAGGGTGTGATAAAAGAGAAAAAGGTAGCTTATGAGAGGTTTTTACAAAGCAGAAGTGTTATAAGAAGTGCAGAGTATATGGAGAGTAAGAGAAAGATGAAGAGAGTAGTGAGAGAGTGCAAAAGGAGAGCAGATGATAGTGGGAAAGGCACTGTCAAGAAATTTTGATGAAAATAAGAAAAATTTTTGGAGATAAACAAGTTAAGAAAGCCTAGGTAACAAATGGATTTGTTAGTTAAAAACAGAGTAGGGGTGTTAGTAGATGGGGAGCTGGAGGTATTGGGTAGATGGCAGGAATATTTTGAGGAACTTTTAAATGTTGATGAAGAAACGAAGGCAGTAATTTCATGCACTGGGCAGGGAGGTATAACATCTTTTAAGAGTGAAGAAGAGCAGGATGCGAGTGTGGGGAAGGTGTGTGAGGCATTACGTAGAATGAAAGGGGGTAAAGCAGCTGGAACTGACGGAACCATGACAGAAATATTAAAAGCAGAGTGGGATATAGTGTTGGAGTGGTTGGAATTTTTGTTTAATAAATGTATGAAAGAGGGGAAGGCACCTAGAGATTGGCAGAGAGCAAGTATAGTTCCTTTATATAAAGGGAAGGGGGACAAAAGAGATTATAAAAATTATAGGAGAATAAGTTTACTGAGTATACCCTCCAAACTGGCATTTTGGAAGGACTCTGTGTAATATTTATATATTAATATTCTGAACTGTCATATCTGAGCACCTCTGCAAAGACAGTGATTATGTATAAGTGAGGTGAAAGTGTTGAATGATGATGAAAGTATTTTCTTTTTGGGGATTTTCTTTCTGTTTGGGTCACCCTGCCTCAGTGGGAGATGACCAATGTGATAAAAAAAAAATAAAAGTATTAGTAGTATTGAGTAAATGTCAACAAATCTTTCCAAAACTGACACAAAGAAAAAGATTGGAAACACTATCGTCTTTGTAAAAAAAAAAAAAAAAAAGATGTAAAGCTGAAACAATAAATGAATTCCTCTATTAACCCTTAAACTGTCCAAACGTAGATCTAGTCCATGTGTGTAGTGCTCTGGACGTAGATCTACGCCCGGTTTTACATGCTTTTCTTGTGAAAAAAAAAAAAAAAACGTAGATCTGCGATCAGAGCACTACACAAGTGGACATAGCTCTACGTTTGGACAGTTTAAGGGTTAAATATTAACGAAAAGATTCTCTTTGTTACAGTGGATAAAAAGAAATTAAAAATGAAAGGAACCCCTATTACATATGTAAAACAAACCACCACCTGTATTCCCAACCCCTTCAATCTCCAGTTCACTAAGAAGCATCTTTTTTTTTTTTTCCAACATGTTGGCCATCTCCCACCAAGGCAGGGTGACCCAAAAAGAAAGAAAATCCCCAAAAAGAAAATACTTTCATCATCAATTAACACTTTCACCTCACTCATACATAATCACTGTCTTTGCAGAGGTGCTCAGATACAACAGTTTAGAAGCATATATAAAGATATATAACATATCCCTCCAAACTGCTAATATCCCAAACCCATCCTTTAAAGTGCAGGCATTGTACTTCCCATTTCCAGTACTCAAGTCTGGCTTTTTTTTTTTTTTTTAACAAGTCGGCCATCTCCCACCGAGGCAGGGTGACCCAAAAAGAAAGAAAATCCCCAAAAAGAAAATACTTTCATCATTCAACACTTTCACATCACTCACACATAATCACTGTTTTTGCAGAGGTGCTCAGAATACAACAGCTTAGAAGTATATACGTATAAAGATACACAACATATCCCTCTAAACTGCCAATATCCCAAACCCCTCCTTTAAACTGCAGGCACTGTACTTCCCATTTCCAGGACTCAAGTCCGGCTATATAAAATAACCGGTTTCCCTGAATCCGTTCACTAAATATTACCCTGATCACACTCCAACAGCTCGTCAGGTCACAAATACCATTCGTCTCCATTCACTCCTATCTAATACGCTCACGCACGCTTGCTGGAAGTCCAAGCCCCTCGCCCACAAAACCTCCTTTACCCCCTCCTTCCAACCTTTTCGAGGACGACCCCTACCCCGCCTTCCTTCCCCTACAGATTTATACATTCTCCATGTCATTCTACTTTGATCCATTCTCTCTAAATGACCAAACCACTTCAACAACCCCTCTTCAGCCCTCTGACTAATACTTTTATTAACCCCACACCTTCTCCTAATTTCCACACTCCGAATTCTCTGCATAATATTTACACCACACACTGCCCTTAGACAGGACATCTCCACTGCCTCCAACCGCCTCCTCGCTGCAGCATTTACAACCCAAGCTTCACACCCATATAAGAGTGTTGGTACCATTATACTTTCATACATTCCCTTCTTTGCCTCCATAGATAATGTTTTTTGGCTCCACATATACCTCAACACACCACTCACCTTTATTCCTTCATCAATTCTATGGTTAACCGCATCCTTCATAAACCCATCCGCTGACACGTCAACTCCCAAATTTCTGAAAACATTCACTTCTTCCATACTCCTTCTCTCCTCTGTGATATCCAATTTTTCTTTATCTAAATCATTTGATACCCTCATCACCTTACTCTTTTCTATATTCACTTTCAACTTTCTACTTTTACACACCCTCCCAAACTCGTCCACTAACCTTTGCAACTTAAGTGTAGCAAGTACAAGAAGTGTAATTAAGTGTAAGAAGCATCTGTGACACTTATTTTTTCGGTTAATGGTTGATATTCTTTTTTTTTTTTTTTTGCACTGCACTACTGAGTGGATGAATTTGCTTATGTTGGGGACTACTATGTAAAAAAAATAAAATATTATAATCAAAATGGGACAACCTAAAAAAAAGGAAAGAATGGGAAACATTAGGTAATCAAAATGCCTCAACTGCATGTCCCATGACTACATATAACTTCATTGAGAATAAACACCTAATTATATCCAATATTCTTTCATTTATAAGAATCAATCAATCCTTTCTTTACCTAGACACCCTTCACTGAACCTATGATTTTTTCTTATTTTTCTTTTTAGTTCCTGTTAACTGCATGAAAAAGACATATAATCAACCCTTGCTGCTGACGAGTTAGCAGCATGTGACATGAACCTTGAGAGTGGATTTCAACATGTGTTTACAAAAACAATGTGAACAAACACTAAGGCATTTTTATTAGAAAACATTTTGCTCCTGGAACCTTAGTCACTTCTAACATACAGAGGATAAAAAATAACAAGATATATACAAATTATTTTTTTAACATTCCATCCGTCTTCTTCAGTGCTATCTGCATCTCCAATCCTTGTTTTACTGAAGAGAAGTACATCTCACTAAGATGCAAAGTCTTGCACCCTTCCCCTCACCTCCACAGCAGGTGACTACACCATCTCCTGTGAACACTGATCCAAAAATTATGTAGGGGATTCAGGCAAAAGTCTGTCTGAGCAAACATCAACATGCCTGCAACAGAAATGACCCAAATAATGCCTGTGTCCTCCACAGAAACCTCACAGGACATTTCATGAGTTAGAAAGAGGAACACTTCATCATCTTTTGAGTCCAACCTCAGATGTCAAAAATGCCTGGAAACTTCATTCAGTGCCATCACTGACAACGAAGGTCAAAAACCTGGAAGTGTTACAACACACTGACAAACAAGATAATCTTACACCTCACAACACAAGAATCAGGTGACATCATGGGCTACCTGACTCACTCATACTGCACACCTTCATCAGGTCTCTACTGGTGACTTACACCTCACTTTATGCCTATATATACTGTTAATCGTAACCCTTTGTATGTTTGCAGTGTTCAAGGCCCCAGGACCACAATGTTTTCTAATAAGTATGTTCCAGTGTTTGCTCACATATCTTTTGCTGTACACCTGATCTTTAATGCATTTAATACTACTCAAAGTAAATACTGGATCCTAATCTTCATTGCACTTAACTCTAGTCCATATGCTCAGTGGTCACTATTAGGTATACCTCTCCAGGTATACTTATTATATAAATTTGTATGTTAACTTTTAAATCAAATTTGCTGCTCCTGTAGAAAACCCTTGAAACTTATCAAAGGTGTTTTCCTTATGGTAATTAGGGCAGAATAACACTCATCCATTCAAGGTAGATGCAACTCAGTATCGTCATACAAAAAATTATATACAAGTGCCTAATGGTTTTACCTGCTGGCACTAATGATATCTTGACTAGGTGTATCACACTGAGGTGAAAGTGAAACATTGAGACGCAATGCTTCTAGCTCTTGACACAGCTCACTTAACGTGCTTCTACTTGACTGACTGGCATTTGTCATGTTCAGTTCTCCATCAACACAGTCACCTGGAGCAAAATACATTATAATTTTTAATTGTGAATTATTTAGAGAGAGCAACATAGGATGACATTTAGGGTGTATAAATCTGCAGTGGAGAGGTAGGAGTCATCCTAAGAAGGGCTAGAGGGGGGGGGGGGAAGAAGGCTTTGTGTGCAAGGGGCTTGGACATTCAACAGGTGTGTGTGAGTATATTAGATAGGAGTGAAAGAAGGCAAGTGGTTTTTATCACTTGATGTGCTGTTGGAGCGGAAGCAAGGTAGCATTTATGAAGGGATTCAGGGAAACCGGTTAGCTGGACTTTGAGTCCTGGAGGTGGGTAGTACAATGCCCCAAATAATTTTTACTAATTCTGGTGACAATGCACTTGAGTTGGGACAGGGAAGCCTCTAAATAGGGTATCTGCGCTACTATTAATTTTTTAGATATCAAATATGCAGTGAGTGATACGTAGCATCAAAAATGATGTACAAACATAGCCTCACCAAACTGCAAGTGTTTACTGTACACTATGTTGTATACTGTACATTACATGTGAAGTTAAAAAGTTAAATAAGGGAGGTAAACTCCCACAACCAACCTTGTATTTCCTGAAGAAAATTCTTATGTATATTTTCACTGGCATTCTGCTCCTCAATCAGTCTTCTAGCCACATAGCTGGCATCTAATTCTCCTCGTTCCAATAACAGCTGTAACCATAACCCCCCAAAAATTACATGAGTAATATTTTCACTTGATTTACAAGTTTTAACAAAATTATTAAATACATACTTATTGGACCTGTTTTTAACCCTTTCACTGTCAGTGGACCGACACTGGCTTGGAAGCCAGTGTCGGTCCAATAATATTACGCCAAAATTCCAATGGCTTTAAATCTTGCGGGAGAAAGCTGGTAGGCCTACATATGAGAAATGGGTCTGAGTGGTCAGTGTGCATAGTATAAAAAAAAAGCCTGCAACACATAGTGCAAAATGAGAAAAAAAAAAACTCCATGTTTTTGGTTTAAAACACCTACTTAGCAGTGTATTTTCGTATGGTATTTATGGTTGTATTCTCGTTTTCTTGGTCTCATTTGATAGAATCAAAGATATATTACAGAAATAGAGATAATTTTGAATGGTTTACAGGCTAAAAGTACCTTGAAATTGAGCTCAAAGTAGCAGAAATGTTCAAGACCGCTTACTTCGCGAGGTCATAATTCCGTAAGTTTTCCATCATTTTTCGTACTTTTGGTGTCATTACCATTGCAAAAAGGTTGTCTATCATTTCATAAGAAAAAATATTTTTTTTTTTAACCCTTTCACTGTTGAGACCCCTGATCCTGAACTCACTCTGTGTCGAAAAATCCCCCCCCCCCCCAAAAAAAAAAATTCTCGTGAATGATAGAGAATCTTTTCCCGATGGTAATGACACCAAAAGTACGAAACTTGATGGAAAACTTACGCAATTATGCTCTCACAAAGTTAGGGGTCTCGGCGATATTTATGCATTGGCGATTTTGCTGACTTTGAACCCTATTTTCTGCCTATTCCATTGTTCCAGTCGACCAAACTCATAGCTATTTCACTAGAACTCCATTTGTTCTATTGATTGAGTACAAGAAAATGCTCATTTACTGATTTCAACTACCCAATAAAGTGATCAGAAATTGGTAATTTGGCCAATTTCATACACAATTCATGTAAGGCCAATTTCAAAATAGGGGCCAGAATAAACAATGCAGACATTCCTAGCGCTAAAACAACATTTTCTCTGTTCATTAGTTACATCTCCAGGCCCCTCTTATATTATGCTTGCTTTCTATTTTTAATTTTTAATCACACAAAATATAGAAGATTTAGTTATGCAGACTACTGCATTATTGTAAAAATAGCATAAATAATATCAGCACATTTGTGAAAGAATATAAACTTGCCAGTTGATGTGTATTGGATGCATAGTGTGATTTGTTTACTCTTGAACATTGTCAAAAATCCAACATTTCCGCTAATTTGAGCTCAATTTCAAGGCACTTTCAGTATGAAAACCATTCCAAATCATCACTATGTCTGTAGTATATCTTCCATTCTATCAAATGAGACCAAGAAAACGTGAATACGACCAAAAATGCCATACGAAAATACACCACAAAGTCAGTGTTTTAAACCAAAAACACAGTCAGAGTTATTTTTCTCATTATGCACTGCTTGCTGCAGGTTTTTTTATGCTGCACATACTGATCACTCAGACCCATTCTCTCATATGTAGGTCTCCCAGCTTTCTCCCGCTAGATTTTAAGCCACTAGAATTTTGGCATAGTACTATGGCACCAACACTGGCTTGTAAGCCGAAGTACTACGGCATCAACAGTGAAAGGCTTAAATTCTTCGACACTGAGAGCAAGTTTGTGAGCAGGGGTCTCAACAGTGAAAGAGTTAACTCACTGGCAATATCCTGCTAAGGTAAGACGACCTGAAGAGGAAAAAAACAGTCCCATATTTAAATTTATAAATAAAAATTTTAAGTGATGAAAATCAACTAACATGTATATATTATCACTGCACCATCACATGGAGAATCTTTCCCAATGAATGCAGCTGCAGACAATACTGACAGTCCTCTATGCTTGAAAATTTTCAAGCATGGAGGGCTCTCCTTTACACTGTACATTTAATTAAGAAAAGAATCCCTTGGTATTGTGGCTTTTATTCTACTGTTTTCACAGGTATTCGTCAGTATGATCCACTTGTGCAATAAGACCAAAAACCTTAATGTATATACAGTACTATACCTACATTCCCATATACACTATATAATCAAGAAAACCCCTTAATTTTCCCAGTTTATTAACTAATGCCTCACCTGCTTGAACTTATTTTTGAGGTAAGCATCCAGCTTGAGAAGTCCTTCATCTGTGGACAGGTTTGTAAATTCACCCAGGAAATCCCAATACTCAGTCCAGCCAACCCCTTTTTCAGCAGCCAGTTTTCTATATGTGGAAAAAAATAATTTGTAAAAGATATTATACATGGTAGTACATATCTTTATCCTGTTAAATTTCTGTAGTACCTGACTCATAGAGGCTAGGACCTTGGGTAGCTTTAAGAAGAGACTGGACAAATATATGAGTGGGAGGGGCTGGGTTTGATTGGTGTCATTGGGTATGGGAGTTATTTCTAGGGAAGCTTTAGGTAGTAGTCGTTTTGATAAGGACCTGCCTCGCATGGGCCAGTAGGCCTTCTGCAGTGTTCCTCCATTCTTATGTTCATAAAATCATAACATAACTGCAAAAAAAATCACACAACAGATGGGGTTTGAACCCATGGCAAGTGAGTCCTAAAAAACTGTAGTACCTTAGAGGATTTGTCTATAAAAAAAGTACTAATTCAAGTAAAAAAATAAATAAAGAATATCTTGTAGCAGTGAAGGAAATAGGTTGTAAGAAGTACCAGCAGTTACACATCTGAGAAATTGACAAGTAGGCACATGATTGCATAGTTGTGTACATATCCTGCCATTTCCTTCACTGATTATATCAATATAAAATACACTATGGAGCAAGGGGCTAGTAACCCCTTCTCCTGTATGGCCAGTTCTTTGAAAAAAAAAAATTACACTATAGTCATGTTTGTCAGTGAGGAAACAAAATCATAAGTGACTGGTAAAAACCTGACAAAGGACAACTAATAAACATCTCCACTGATACAGAAATTGAACATAACAAAATAGAAAACTAGCAGGTACATGCCCCATGTACCCACGTACTCACCCATTTCCTCCCTATCTTGAGGTATTAGCAAACAATAATTTTGATACAACTGGAAAAAATAATGAATGGGACACATGGTAAAGAGACCGTGAAGCCAGTAAGACAAAAATTAGTACTGCAATTATAAAGAAAAAATCGGTACATGATCTTAGCTACACATTCTTATATTCAAACTTGGGATGTACCCTAAAATCCATCCACATAAAATGCCATACATACAGAAGGTAACATTCATCAGACCACCTAAAAATCCAGTTAAGCAATCCAGGAAGTCATGTAAATAACTAGAAACTTAACTGCTGCACAGTGGAAAACTTATTTGACAGAATATTACTATTTTCCCCAATTCATGCTTGATGTACTGTATGAGGAGGCTGGAGACAGTGCAGATGTCATATTTGAGGGCAGTGTGTGGTGTGAATATTATACAGAGAATTCAGAGTAAGACTCACCAAGGGTATAATTCAGAGGGCTAAGGAGGGGCTGTTAGGGTGTTTTTGGTATTTAGAGATGATGGAGCAGAATAGGATGAATAAGAAGGCAAACAAATCAGGGGCAGAAAGGAGGGGTAGGGATCATGCTAGGAAGAATTGGGAGGAACAAAGGAGGCTTCGAGTGCTTGGTGCTTGAGCATCCATCAAGTTTGTGTGAGCACGTTAGATTAGACTGAGCAGAGACAAATTGATTTCATGATTTGACATGTTGTTAGTGTGTGCATGGTAATATTTATGAAGTGATTCAGGAAAATCAGTTAGCCAGACTTCAGCCACCACTCTATAGGAGGGGCTGAAGAGGTAGCAGTTCCGAGGGTTATTATGAATTGTGACGTCTGCACACTTCTGGCAAGGCAGCTACTGAATGAATGATAGTTAACAGGTTTCTTTGTTTTCCAATTCAACCTACCTCAGTGGGAGGGGGACACCAGTGGTAAAAAAAAAAAAATTACTGTATAAACAATTCTGAGTGGGATTTACTCTGAATTTAGTGATCACTGTCAGTTAAATCCCAAATCAAAATACCCAGTGGCAATAACAATAACAGAAAATTCTAGATTTAATAAACTTTAAATTTTTCTGGATGTTGTATGGCCAGAGATTTTGTCTGTTAAAATCTATTTAATTAGGATTTGTTAAATCAAGATTTTTTTAATATATACGGTACTGAACATGGCTAAAATACAGTACATACTTTTTTACATCACACTCACCTGCCCAGTTTTTCCAATCCCTTTTCTTGGTCTGTTAGCCGAAGAGATGCTATGCGATTCTTCGACTGATGTGTAGGTGATGATGTAGAAATGTTTCGCCATAACCGATGAAAGACTTCTGCTTGTGTGGGGCTCATTGGACCTGCATATCCCCGTACCTAAAATAATAGTAACAAAAAAATAAATAGTCACCTTCAGTGCTGCTGGTTGCAATACAAAAGGAGTGAGATTAATAAGTAAGCCTAGGGAACAAATAGATTTGATTGTTAAAAATATATGAGGAGAGTTATTAAATGGAGAGTTAGAGGTATCGGGAAGATGGAGGGAATATTCTGAGGAACTGTTAGATGTTGATGAAGATAGGGATGCTGTGATTTTTGTCTATAGAGCAAGAAGGAATAATATCTTGTAGGAGTGGTGAGGAGGAGCGAGTTGTAAATGTAGGGGAAGTTTGTGAGGCAGTGGGTAGAATGAAAAGGGGTAAAGCAGCTGGGATTGATGAGATAAAGATACAAATGTTAAAAGCAGGCGAGGATATAGTTTTGGAGTGGTTGGTGCTTTTATTTAATAAATGATTGGCAGAGAGCATGCATAGTTCCTTTGTATAAAGGCAAAGGGACAAAAGATAATGCAAAAATTATAGGAGAATAAGTTTGTTAACTTTCGTTTTTCCTTTTGGGCTACCCCACCTCAGTGGGATACGGCTGATACGTTGAAAGAAAAGAAGTCTGTTGGGTCCTAGGTAGTAGGTTGGTAGACAGCAACTGCCCAGGGGGGTACTACCGTCCTGCTAAGTGAGTGTAAAACGGAAACCTGTAATTGTTTTACATGATGGTAGGATTGCTGGTGTCTTTTTTCTGTCTCATAAACATGCAAGATTTCAGGTACGTCTTGCTACTTCTACTTACACTTAGGTCACACTACACATACATGTAAAAGCATATATATACACACCCTTCTGGGTTTTCTTCTATTTTCTTTCTAGTTCTTGTTCTTGTTTATTTCCTCTTATCTCCATGGGGAAGTGGAACAGAATTCCTCCTCCGTAAGCCATGCGTGTTGTAAGAGGCGACTAAAATGCCAGGAGCAAGGGGCTAGTAACCCCTTCTCCTGGATGGATTACTAAATTTAAAAAGAGAAACGTTTGTTTTTCTTTTCGGGCCACCCTGCCTCGGTGGGATATGGCCGGTTTGTTGAAAAAAAAAAAAAAAGTCTGTTGAGTATACCTGGTAAAGTGTATGGGAGAGTTATTACTGAAAGAATTAAGAGTGAGATGGAGAGTAGGATAGCAGATGAACAGGGAAGCTTCAGGAAGGGTAAAGGGTGTGTAAACCAAGTGTTTACAGTGAAACATATAGGTGATCAGTATCTAGATAAGAGTAAAGAGGTTTTTGTGGCATTTATGGATTTGGAAAAGGCATATGACAGGGTGGATAGGGGGCAATGTGGTAGATGTTACAAATGCATGGAATAGGAGATAGGTTATTAAATCAGTGAAAAGTTTTTACAAGAAGAGTGAGGCCCAGGTTAGAGTATGTAGGAGAGAGGGAGATTATTTCCCAGTAAAAGTAGGCCTTAGACAAGGATGTGTGATGTAACCATGACTGTTCAATATATTTATAGATGGGGTTGTAAGAGAAGTGAATGCTCGGGTATTGACAAGAAGTGTGGGGTTAAAAGATAAAGAATGTAACACAAAGTGAGAGTTGTCACAGTTGCTCTTTGCTGATGACACTGTGCTTTTGGGAGATTCTGAAGAGAAGTTGCAGAGGCTGGTGGATGAGTTTGGTAGGGTATGTAAAAGAAGAAAATTGAAGTAAGGTGATGAGGATAACAAAAAATTAGGTAACGAAAGATTGGATATCAGGTTGGAGGGAGAGAGTATGGAGGAGGTGAATATGTTCAGATATTTAAGAGTGGACATGTCAGCAGCTGGATCTATGAAAGATGAGATGAATCACAGAATTGACAAGGGGAAAAAAGTGAGTGGTGCACTGAGGAGTCTGTGGAGACAAAGAACTTTGTCCATCGAAGCAAAGAGGGGAATGTATGAGAGTATAGTTATGCCAACACTCTTATATGGGTGTGAAGCATGTGTGGTGAATGTTGCAACAAGGAGAAGGCTGGAGGCAGTGGAGATGTCATGTCTGAGAGCAATGTGTGGTGTGCATATAATGAAGAGAATTCGTAGGAAATTAGGAGGAGGTATGGGATTACCAAAACTATTATCCAGAGGGTTGAGGAGAGGTTGTTGGGACATGTAGAGAGGGTGTAACAAAATAGAATGACTTTGAGAGTGTATAAATCTGTAGTGGAGGGAAGGCAGGGTAGAGGTCGGCCCAGGAAAGGTTGGAGGGAGGGGGTAAAGGAGGTTTTGTATGCGAGGTGCTTGGACTTTTAGCAAGCATGTGTGAGCATGTTAGATAGGAGTGAATGGAGACAAATGGTTCTTAGGACTTGATGTGTTGTTGGAGCATGAGCAGGGTAATGTTTATGAAGGGATTCAGGGAAAATGGCAGGCTGGACTTGAATACTGGAGATGGGAAAGTACAGTGCCTGCACTCTGAAAGAGGGGTGTTAATGTTGCAGTTTTATAACTGTAGTGTAAGTGCACCTCTGGCAAGACAGTGATGGAGTGAATGATGGTGAACATTTTTCTTTTTCGGGTCACCCTACCTTGGTTGGAAACAGTCAATGTGTTAATAAAAAAATAAAAAAACCTTCCTCCCTCTCAATGTACCAGAATATGAGCTCATTCTCAAAGACTGTATATACATACAGTATACATTATTTAACACTGTCCATATTTAGTACATTGAAGCTCATTACACTATTCACTGCAGAAGATACTGGTTCTATGAATGAGATATGTCAGTGGATTCATAGTGATGTACCCTTGCCAGAATTCTCATCTTGTAGATGAATGGTTCACAGAACCGACACGTTGATAAATTAGACACATGTGCAACTCTTGGGTATCTTTATTAAGGAAACGTTTCGCCACACAGTGGCTTCATCAGTCCATACAAAGGAGAATCTTGAAGAACAGGAGTAGAATGAGGTAATCAGTCCCTCAACCTTGAGTCGATGTGGTCAGTCCATCAATCTTGAATAGAATACGGCATACGTGCGGAGAAGGAGCTTATAAACCGTAGGCAGGAGAGGTGCAGCAGTCATAGGTGGTGTCACATTTGTTCAATGTGGAAGTAGGTCGTGCCCAAGAATTAGGCAAGCGTAGGATTCCCAAGTATTAAGATCCCAAGAAGTTGCAGTGTCTGACAGACTTGTTCTCAGGGGTCCCAAATTTAAAAAAAAAAAAATATTATTTTTTCTTATGAAAAGATAGAGAATCTTTTCTCGATCATAATGACACCAAAAGTATGAAATTTGACGGAAAACTTATGGAATTATGCTCTCGCGAAGTTAGTGGTCTCAACGACGTTTACGCATCGGCGATTTTGCCCACTTTGAGCCCTATTTTCGGCCAATTCCAGTGTACTAGTCGAAAAAATCATAACTATTTCACTAGAACTCCATTTTTTCTATCGAATGAGTACAAGAAACCACCCATTTACTGATTTCAACTAACCAATAAAGTGGTCAGAATTTAGCAATTTTACCAATTTCACACAAATTTCAAAAGATGCCAATTTCCGAATAGGGTCCAGAATAAACAAGAAAGACATTCCTGGCACTACAATAACAAGTTCTCTGTTCATTAGTCACATCCCCAGGCCCCTCTTATATTTCTTTGGCTTTCCACTTTGAATTTTTATTCTTACAAAAAATAGAAGATTTACTGTTATGCAGACTACTGCATTAGTGTAGAAATGGTATAATATCAGCACACTTGTGAAAGTATATTAGACTCACCAGTTGATGTGTATTGGATGCTTGGCATGATTTGTTTACTTTTGAACTTTGGTAAAAATTTAACATTTCTGCTACTTTGAGCTCAATTTCAAGGTACTTTTCATTGTAAAACCAGTCAAAATCATCTCAATTTCTGTAATATGTCTTCCATTCAATAAAATGAGACCAGGAAAACTAGAATACAACAATAAATACCATACGAAAATACAGTGCAAAGTCGCTGATTTAATCCAAAAACACGGTCAAATTTTTTTTTTTCTCATTACACACTGTGCTGCAGGATTTTTTTTATACTGCGCACACTGACCACATAGACCCATTCTTTCATATGTAGGCCTACCAGCTTTCTCTCACTAGATTTGAGGGTGCTAGAATTTAGGTGTACTAGTACGTTAAAAAACCCTGGGGCGTAAGCCATACTAGTACGGCCGAAACCCTGAAAGGGTTAATGACAAATTCTAATTACAGTAGACCCCCTTTAGTGAACATTCACCTAACATAATTCAAAAGAACAAAAATTAAAAATCTAGGACCCTTTCCCCACATGACAATCAACTCCTGCTCATACAATGATCAAATTCCAGGCTGTCGTCCCTATACATTAAAGTAAAAGGACACAAGTGCAACTAATGTGACATTTTTATTGTGGCAACGTTTCGCACTTGTGTCCTTTAACTTTACATATTGTCGGTAATTCTACCAACTTTATAACGACTCTATATATTGTTTATCATTTCATAGCCCTCCATAGATGGAATTAAATCATTTATTTCCTGCATCAGCAGTCAACACACAGTTTTCATATCCTAAGAATGATCAGTTAAAATGTGAGAATGGGGATTTTAACATACTGACAAATATATGAATAAGAAAGATTGTACTGGGGTGGACCTGCTTAGCATGGACCAACAAGCCTACAGCAGTGCTCCTTCATTCTTTTGCTCTTATATACTTTTTTGTTATTTTTATTATTTTTACATATTTTTTGGGGTAGTATGTACTCTTAGGACATGGGATATAACTCTGGGCATCTATAATTACAAAAAATGGAGCTTATGGCCAAAAATATACTGTACATACTGATAAAGTTCTACACAGAGCAAAATGATGTCACTATAAGAGCTTGTTCTGATCATGTCTTTTCTTCATTACTGCCAGCAGTAGGCCTTTGAAGCCTGCAGAACTATGAAATAGAACCTAAGGTACATGATAAAGAATACCTTTAATGATGGACTTATAAGGCTAGCTGGGGTTCCAGAAGTATGGAAAGGAGTAAGCAGTTGATCTTGAGTAATAGGGCTGGTTGGACTCTCTAGCTTAAGTGACCATGGATTTCCCACTTGCGGTAAAAGACAGTGATCATCATCACGAAGGAGTGGCACATAATACTGCTCCCCAAGCAGGATACCGATTTCTTCAGAAACTTTAGATTTGTTATCTTTCATTCTTGAACATATGACCTGAAAAATATAAAATCAATATATACAAATCTGTACAGTACTAAATTCTGATGTATGAAAAACTGCTAATGTATCTGTCAGTAGGTCAGTGAGCCACATAGGAATAACATCCCAGCAACATATTCCAGTACTCATTTCACCAGTACAATATAATAAACCTAATTACCTAGGGAATAGAAGGGAATCAGGTTTGATCAGAGGAAGAAAAGGATACCTCCGAGAATGTATGACTACAGTAGGACTCCCGTATCCATGGGGGATATGTTTCAAAGACCTACCGCAGATACTGAAACCGTGGATAGTAGCAAACCCTATATACAAGTCTTTTTTGTTTACCTACATACCTATTCTTAGATAGTAGGTTGGTAGACAGCAACCACCCAGGGAGGTACTACCATCCTGCCAAGTGAGTGTGAAATGGAAGCCTGTAATTGTTTTACATGATGGTAGGATTGGTGTCTTTTTTCTGTAACATAAACACGCAAGATTTCAGGTACGTCTTGCTACTTCTACTAACACTTAGGTCACACTACACATGTCCCTCTGGGTTTTCTTCTATTTCCTTACTAGTTCTTGTTCTTGTTCATTTCCTCTTATCTCCATGAGGAAGTGGAACAGAATTTTTCCTCCATGAGTGATGCGTGTCATAAGAGGCGACTAAAGTGCTGGGAGCAAGGGGCTAGTAACCCCTTCTTCTGTGCTTTTTTTTTTTTAACACACTGGCCATTTCCCACTGAAGCAGGGTGACCCAAAAAAGAAAAAAACCCAAAAAGAAAGAAAAATACTTTCATCATCATTCAACACTTTCACCATAACTCATACATAATCACTGTCTTCGCAGAGGCGCTCAGATACGACAGTTTAGAAGTCCCTCCAAACTGCCAGTATCCCAAACCGCTCCTATAAAGTGCAGGCATTGTACTTCCCATTTCCAGGACTCAAGTCCGACTAACTGGTTTCCCTGAATCCCTTCAAAAATATTACCCTGCTCACACTCCAACATCTCATCAAGTCGCAAAAACCATTTGTCTCCAGTCACTCCTAACATGCCCACGCATGCTTGGTGGAAGTCCAAGCCCCTTACCCACAAAACCTCCTTTACCCCCTCCCTCCAACCTTTTCGAGGACAACCCCCTAACCCGCCTTCCTTCCCCTACAGATTTATATGCTCTCAAAGTCATTCTACTTTGTTCTATTCTTTCTAAATGACCAAACCACCTCAACAACCCCTCTTCAGCCCTCTAACTAATACTTTTAGTAACTCCACACCTCCTCCTAATTTCCACACTCCGTATTCTCTGCATAATATTTACACCACACAATGCCTTTAGGCATGACATCTCCACTGCCTCCAGCTGCCTCCTCGCCACAGCATTGACAACCCAAGCTTCTCCTGTATTTATTACTAAATTTAAAACAAGAAACTTTCGTTTTTCCTTTTAGGCCACCCTGCTTTGGTGGGATGCAGCCGGTTTGTTGAAAGAAGAAGACATACCCTATTATAAAGTTTAATTGATAAATTATGTACAGTAAGTGGGAGCACTTCATGGCTTCTCTTGGGCATTAAAGAACTTTCACCATCACTACTTTTGAACTTTGAGACAATTATTAAGCAAAATTGAAGGTTATTTTTGAACTGCAGATAACTGAACCTGCAGATACCAGATCTGCAGATATGGGGGTCCTACTGTATTTATATTGCAGCAACAGCATATGTCAAACACAGGTACATACAGTAAATACTAGGGACCAGCAAATTATGGGATCAAGGCTATGCTGATTTCTAACAAAATTGGCAAATGTGGTGGTTCTGAAGAACAATATTGGTCCAAGCTCACAATTTTGCTAACATGATAATGCAGTAAGGTACTCTATAAAAGGTATAAACAACATTTATACCTTTTATACAGTACATATAAAAAGTAGACTATAATATATATGACAACTTCTTCATGTAGAACCTCTCGAGGCCCTCTAGGTTGCCCTAAAGAGCTCTACACAGTGACACTGGTATCAATAATGTAGATCTACATGGGAGAGAGTGAAGGGGTTAAGTTTGTCGGGGTAACCATTTGTGTTTACACAAAAAAAAAAATATAACTGTTTGGACAAGCAGACCAACAGTACATCTAATTTGCCAAATACTTTTTACTTCTTATTTTTATGCAAAATAATTAAAAGACCAACATTTCCAAAATTGAAATATAACTTACATCACTTGGTTTTTGACTATATTTATTATTCCTAGACTTGTCACATGCTGAGTAAGTGGTCAATATCCTGACACACTCCACACAGCCATGCTTGCTAGCAAAGTGTAAAGGTGTTTCATTAAGCCCTTTATCAGGAGTGTTGAGATACAGATCCAACAGGTAGGTGCTGCGCCTTTCAGAACTTTCCAGAGCATCATCGGGATATAATTTTTGGAAAAATTCAGCTTGTGCAACTGTAGCCAGCACCTATGAAAAAAGAAAGGAAAACTGTTAAATTTTAAAATGCCGTACAGTATACAGTTCCTATTAGACTCATAAAAATAAATAAATGAATACAGGTAAATATGTTTTCTGTGAACACACCTTTTCAACAAACTTTGGCTTGTTAGTGCGGCAGGCAACATGGAGAGCATTATAGCGAAAGCCTTCTTGAAGAATTGCCGGAGTGTCCCCACTACTAACCAAGTACCTTGGGTTCTCATCAATGCACTGCAAGAAAATAATATTTATACATTCCCTTTTTAAAAGTGCAAGATGGTAAATAAAGAAACATATATACTGGCACACTGCTAAACGGTTCCTAATACTGTAATATTGTGATGGGAAAACTGTAGAATTAAACAGTCAAGAAAGTCAGCAAGTCAGCAGACAGGAGAGCTAGTGAGTAGGGCAAGAAAGTCAACAAGTTGGAAAGCAAAAGGGAAGGCCAGATAAGTAAGAGTGAGCAGGTAGAAATGGTGAGAGGTGGGCAACAAAATAATTTAACACATGAAACAAATAGTCAATGACTTGTGCATTTTACTCTCTCTCTTGCTATATATAGTCATATTATCCAATCAATTAACAAAAGTATAACTTAAAAACCAACCTGACTAAAGTATACCATATCACCCTTTTCTATTGCTTTTCGGAACTTTACTAGGTCTTGCGATTTTGGTCCACGGAAAGGACTGGGCTTCTCTGCACTTACACCTGTGTATATTCCCCCATCTTCCCCTGAAGTAGCACCATGAGGGACAATTACATCTGGGCCATTTTCTGCAAAATGCATGGCTGCATCGTATGTCCTGAATGATTTGAACCGTGAACCACGGTACTTTTTCATCACAGCCAAACATGCTGTTTGGTCTATGTATACTTTCTGAAAATCTGAAATGATTGAAATAATGTCAATAATTAAAAGGAGAAGTGAATAATACCAACAAATATACAGCACTACAGTATACTTCCTTTGAGATATTACTGGTTTAAAGCCTACTGTGTGGGCAAAACATAGTCAACAAAGGATCACATTATATGCTCGTGTCTATTTTTCCATTATGATGATATTTTATCCCAACATGAGCTATATGTGCACATTTGTTTGTTTGTACTGCAATGAGGATAATGCAGAACATACACAAAATCTGATGGTGAATGATCTAAGACACAAAAAGTAGTGATGTTTGGTGAAGGATTTGCATGAAATTATGTTGTATACCACAAAAATTATATATGCATAAAAAACTACACACAAAAATATTAGTAAAGATTGTACTTTAGTACATGTCAATGATATGTGATTATTTTTTCTGTTAACTTATCATAAAAATAATTCTGTACTATAATTTAGCAAATTAAAATACTGTAAAGAAATGAGCAGAGGCAAGAACTTTCCTTAAGAAATTCTACTATTAGTAATTCATTCTATTTAGAAATTCTACTATTAGTAATTCATTCTATTTAAAAAAAAATGCAAAGCAATTTCTTAACAAGGAAATATTTACTAAATACTGTTCTCATGAGCACAAACAAATGAAAAACTGCATTACTGTATAAATACTAGTGCAACTGAAATTAGGTTATGCAGAAAATTATTAAATTCATCCTGAACTTACTGACCAGTGTAATGCACTGAAGCACACCTACCTGAATCAACGGTATCAACATCTACAGTGTTTGGTAGGTAGACACCATAATACACATCTGCTTCAGCTATGCGTTGAGCAGTACATGTCAGTGAGCCAGTGCTATCCTCTGGAAAAACTCTGTGACTCTTGCCTTTCAAAATAATATCATCAATATCGTTTTCTGGCTTCTCACCAGAGTTTTCCTCACGCTTTCTCTTCAGCATACGCTCAATTATTCCTCTGTTGGAATATAGTATATATATAATATTGTAATAGGCCATAAAATAAATACCCTTTTGTTTAATCTATGAAGCTGTTCTTTAAAACATTAAGACAAAATTATATATCATTTAATCTCATCAGGGTGAGTGAAGAAGAAATCCCATTTCTCCTATCTCAGTAAACCTCACAGTACACACACACAAAAAAAAAATCATTAAAAATTCCACCTCTTCTTTATTTGCTGTCTTTCAGTAATGTAATCCTCTGGGGTGCAATGATTAATGTGTAATGATGAGGGAAGGATGTAGAAAACTGAAAAGTTCATAAAAGCTCTTGTTAGAATACAGTAGTAAGATTTTAACACCATGATGCATGCTATCTGACTGATTTGCTGGAGGATACAGAAGTGAGAAAATATTGTGTGGGGCAGCAGCCGGATTACGGTCATCATGAAAATCTTTGATCATGACTGCTATCTGATGTGCATTTTAATAGTCTTCAGCAGAAATACATGGTGTTTATTCCAAATTCATATGAATAGTATCAAAATGAAAAGGTAGTTATTTACATTTCATATTTTGCTGTAAATTAGTTTATGCTGAATAAATTTTTAAAAATGTCACAATTTTTTCATAGAAGCTTTTATCTGCACAGGTTTCCTACCCGCACATGATCACATATCATTTTGGTTAACTTAATGACTTTAGGTGGACCCTTAAATCAATTCAGAATTTAAAAATAATTCATAGGTTCAATAACAAGAGAAAATAGAACACTTAAGCCTAGGGACAATCCAGGGCATTTAATGCACCCTTATACATAATACTTGCCAAATGTAAGTGTTTCCCAGCAACACTTACATTGTTCAATCATATTGTTGGCTATTGTAAATGTGGTGTGCACACTAAGAAGTGTACATTTCAATGTATACAGGATAAAAGTTTATGTCAATCCTTAATTCTCTTATGGATGAAAGAATGCTTGACAATTCAAAGCAAGGGCGATTATTGCCTTTATGCCCATCAGCTTAGTCCATGATCCAGGCAGGTGAAGAATTAAAGGTATAGAATAATTCAGAAGCCAGTGTGAGAGACATCATCAGTGTCAAGAGATAAATCTAACACACAATGCAAAACAACACAGGCTTAAAAAAAATCAATTATCAATAAAGAAAAGTAATTGCAAATAGAATTCTCAAAATATTTTGCTGGATACCTGGTAGTTGGCGTTATGGGTCCTACAGTTTCACCTAGGTTTTCTAGCGCTTCCTTTAACTTCTCATCTGAAAGCTGCGATATCTCATCAAATTTTACCTTTTCCTCTGCCATTATTCACCCTGATTATTCACCACTGAACACATCTGAAGGAAATACAAAAGTATGACATAGTATTATATAATATTTTTACCAAAACTCCCTACAGCATTTTCTACATATAATTAAAAATGAAAATAACTAGCATAAATAGTAGATATATTTTAGGATGAATACTGTATATACTATTTTGATTACTTGTACCTCCTATAATATAAAATGGGATAAGGTGACCTCTCACAATGTCACTAGAAAAAAATGAAGGATAGTGAGAAAAGACAGGAGAAGCAGGCAATCAAGGGAAAAAATGAAGGAATAATAATAACAACAACAACAACAACAATAATAATAATAATAATAATAATAATAATAATAATAATAATAATAATAATAATAATAATAATATTTATAGTTACACTTAGGTCACACTACACATACGTGTACATGTTTATGTATACACACTCATCTGAGTTTTCTTTTATTTTATCTTAATAGTTCTTGTTCTTATTGTTTTTCCTTTGATATCCATGGGGAAGTGGAATAAGAATCTTTCCTCCGTAAGCCATGCGTGTTGTAAAAGTCAACTAAAATGCTGGGAACAATGGGCTAGTAACTGCTTTTCCTGTATAGCCTACTAAAAAGAAAAAGCAGAAAACCATCAAAGTTGGATGTTTGAATGTGAATGGATGTTGTGCCAATGATAAGAAAAGAGATGATTGTGGATGTTATGAATAAGAAGCTGGATGTCCTGGCTTTAAGTGAAACAAAGCTGAAGGGGGTGGGAGAGTTTCAGTGGAGAGAAATAAATGGGATTGGGTCAGAGGTTTCATATAGAGTTAGAGCTAAAGATGAAGTAGCAATAATGTTGAAGGATAAGTTATGGCTGGAGAAGAGGGAATATAAATGTACTAATTCAAGGATTATGTGGAGTAAAATAAGGGTTGGATGTGAAAAGTGGGTTATTGTAAGCATTTATGCACCTGGAGGAGAGAGAAGTGTAGAGGAGAGAGAGAGATTTTGGGAAATGTTGAGTGAGTGCATGGGGAGTTTTGAACCACGTGTGAGAGTACTTGTGGTTGGGGATTTCAATGCTAAAGTGGGTAAAAATGTTGTGGAGGGAGTAGTAGGTAAATCTGGGGTGCCAGGGGTAAATGAAAATGGGGAGCCTTTAATTGAGCTATGTGTAGAAAGAGGTTTGGTAATAAGTAATACATATTTTATGAAAAAGAGGATAAATAAGTATACAAGGTATGATATAGCACGTAATGAAAGTAGTTTGTTAGATTATGTATTGGTGGATAAAAGGTTGATGGGTAGGCTTCAGGATGTACATGTGTATAGAGGGGCAACTGATATATCAGATCATTATTTAGTTGTAGCTACAGTTAGAGTAAGACATAGATGGGACAAAAGAAAAATGGCAACAACAAGTAGGAGAGGTGAAAGTGTATAACCTAAGAGAGGAGGAAGTTAGGGTGAGATATAAGCAACTATTGGCAGAAAGATGGGCTAGTGCAAGTATGAGTAGTGGGGAGGGGGGTTGAAGAGGGTTGGAATAGTTTTAAAAATGCAGTATTAGAATGTGGGGCAGAAGTTTGTGGATATAGGAGGGTGAGTGCAGGAGGAAAGAGGAGTGATTGGTGGAATGATGAAGTAAAGGGTGTGATAAAAGAGAAAAAGTTAGCTTATGAGAGGTTTTTACAAAGCAGAAGTGTTATAAGAAGAGTAAAGTATATGGAGAGTAAAAGAAAGGTGAAGAGAGTGGTGAGAGAGTGCAAAAGGAGAGCAGATGATAGAGTGGGAGAGACACTGTCAAGAAATTTTGATGAAAATAAGAAAAAATTTTGGAGTGAGATAAACAAGTTAAGAAAGCCTAGGGAACGAATTCATTTGTCAGTTAAAAACAGAGTAGGGGAGTTAGTAGATGGGGGGCTAGAGGTATTGGGTAGATGGCAGGAATATTTTGAGGAACTTTTAAATGTAGATGAAGAAAGGGAGGTGGTAATTTCATGCACTGGTCAGGGAGGTATAATATCTTTTAGGAGTGAAGAAGAGCAGGATGTGAGTGTGGGGGAGGTGTGTGAGGCATTACGTAGAATGAAAGGGGAATAGAGCAGCTGGAACTGACGGGATCATGGCAGAAATGTTAAAAGCAGGGGGGATATAGTGTTGGGGTGGTTGGTATTTTTGTTTAATAATTGTATGAAAGAGGGGAAGGTACCTAGGGATTGGCAGAGAGCTTGTATAGTTCCTTTATATAAAAGGAAGGGGGACAAAAGAGATTGTAAAAATTATAGAGGAATAAGTTTCCTGAGTATACCAGGGAAAGTGTACGGTAGGGTTATTATTGAAAGAATTAGAGGTAAGACAGAGAGTAGGCTTGCAGATGAGCAAGGAGGCTTTAGAGTGGGTAGGAGATGTGTAGATCAAGTGTTTACATTGAAGCATATATGTGAACAATATTTAGATAAAGGTAGGGAAGTTTTCATTGCATTTATGGATTTAGAAAAGGCATATGATAAAGTGGATAGGGGAGCAGTGTGGCAGATGTGAGGCTCAGGTTAGGGTGTGTAGAAGAGAGGGAGATTACATCCTGGTAAAAGTAGGTCTTAGACAGGGATGCATAATGTCACCATGGTTGTTTAATATATTTATAGATGGGGTTGTAAAAAAAGTAAATGCTAGGGTGTTGGGGAGAGGGGTGGGATTAAATTATGGGGAATCAAATACAAAATGTGAGTTGACACAGTTACTGTTTGCTGATGATACTGTGCTTATGGGAGATTCTAAAGAAAAGTTGCAAAGGTTAGTGGACGTGTTTGGGAGCGTGTGTAAAGGTAGAAAGTTGAAAGTGAACATAGATAAGAGTAAACTGATGAGGGTATCAAATGATTTAGATAAAGAAAAATTGGATATCACATTGGAGAGGAGGAGTATGGAAGAAGTGAATGTTTTCAGATATTTGGGAGTTGACGTATCAGTGGGTGGGTTCATAAAGGATGAGGTTAACCATAGAACTGATGAAGGAAAAAAGATGAGCGGTGCATTGAGGTATATGTGAAGACAAAAAACTTTATCTATGGAGGCAAAGAAGGGAATGTATGAAAGTACAGTGCTACCAACTCTTATATGGGTGTGAAGCTTGGGTTGTAAACGCTGCAGCGAGGAGGCGGTTGGAGGCAGTGGAGATGTCCTGTCTAAGGGCAATGTGTGGTGTAAATATTATGCAGAAAATTAGGAGTGTGGAAATTAGAAGGTGTGGAGTTAATAAAATTATTAGTCAGAGGGCTGAAGAGGGGTTGTTGAGGTGGTTTGGTAATTTAGAGAGAATGGATCAAAGTAGAATGACATGGAGAGCGTATAAATCTGTAGGGAAAGGAAGGCGGGGTAGGGGTTGTCCTCGAAAAGGGTGGAGGGAGAGGGGTAAAGTTGGTTTTGTGGGCGAGGGACTTGGATTTCCAGCAAGTGTGCGTGAGCGTGTTAGATAGGAGTGAATGGAGACAAATGGTATTTGGGACCTGACGAGCTGTTGGAGAGTAAGCAGGGTAATATTTAGTGAAGGGATTCAGGGAATACGGTTATTTTTATATAGCCGGACTCGAGTACTGGAAATGGGAAGTACAATGCCTGCACTTTAAAGGCGGGGTTTGGGATATTGGAAGTTTGGAGGGATATGTTATATATCTTTATATATGCTTCTAAACTGCTGTATCTGGGCACCTCTGCAAAAACAGTGATTATGTATGAATGTGGTGAAAGTGTTGAATGATGATGAAAGTATTTTCTTTTTGGGGATTTTCTTTCTTTTTGAGTCACCCTGCCTCGGTGGGAGACAGCTGATTTGTTGAAAAAAATAATAATAATAATATTATTAGTATTATTATTATATTAAATTTCATGAAGTGCTAAACCAGTGCAGATCATTCAATGCGAAGAGTGGATACTTGGTTCACTAATCACAACCGGATTTCTGAACAGTCAGGCTATTGGTGTTCTGTCCCTGAAAAGGTATAAAGAATGAAAGCAGATTAAGGGAGGGCAGGGTGACATGAGGAGGGAATGAGATAAGGGGAGAGAAAGGGATGGTTGGGGGAAAACAAGGAACTGAAGAAGAAAGGGGTGAGGGATAGTGTTTGTTTAGAATAGGTTAGTTAGGCTGAATTAATAACTACTGGTGTATGGATATCTAGCTTAGTGTGCACCCACAGGTCATCCTGTGAGCATTAGCACAAAAGAAATTACAAGGGTTACAAAGGTCTTTACTAAACCCAACTGGGCAAATAGTTGCATCTTCAAATATTAACCCTTAAACGGTCCAAAGAGATCAACGTTCAAATTCGTATTGCTACAAAAGTAGATCTACATTTTTTTACATATTTTCAATAACAAAAAAAAATGTAGATAAAAGTTTTTTTTACACGTTTTCAAATGTAAAACAAAAAAGATCTACAATTTTTTTACATACTTTCAGATGTTGAAAAAACATATATATACGTTTGGACCATTTAAGGGTTAAAGAGAACGATAGTTATTCTTTATGATAGTTATTCATACATTACAATCTCATTTACTAATTAATTTATGTAACTAATTCCAAAGCTAGTTAGACAAATTCTGTCCACTTTTAAGAACATAAGAAAGGAGCACTGCAGCAGGTCTATTGGCCCATGCTAAGCAAGTCCAAGTCACCTACTGGTCCAAGCTAGTCAGATCCAACTCTCACTCACCCATACCCACTCATGTATTTGTCTAACCTATTTTTAAAGCTACACAATGTTTTAACTTCAATGACATTACTTGTTACTCATCCACAACTATATTACCAAACCAGTGCTCTCCTATATGAAGAACAAAAAAGCATAATATCGTGACAGGAACAATACACAAATAACCTGCACACAAGAGAGAAAAGCCTATGATGATGTTTCGATCCATCTTGTACCATTCGGTCCAAGATGGGCCAAAACGTCATCATAAGCCTTTCTCTCCCATGTGTGGGTTATTTGTGCTTCTCTATATCTTTTCCTAATTTAAATGCTTCCAATTTGAACCCATTGCTGTGGGTTCTGTCACAAGTAGATATTTTTAGCATGTTATTTACATCCCCTTTATTTATTCCTGTTTTTCATTTATGTATATACCTTAATCGTATCCCCCCTATTTCTACACCTTTCTAGCAAGTGCAGATTCAGGGCCCTCGGTCTATCCTCATAGGAAAGATTTCTCTAATACATGGGATCAACTCTGTCATCTTTTTAAAAAGCAAAACTTTACTCTTGATATTAAGTGTATTGTTAAAATAACTGTCACTCACAGAAAAAGTTTACTTCTATTCAACTAATACATGTGTACTTATTTCTTCCCACAATTTTCCAGTTCATTGTAAATCCATCAATCAGTACAGTATATCACAACAACAACAATAAGCAGAACTGAGTTAAGATAAGAACATAAGAACATAAGAACGAAGGAACACTGCAGAAGGCCTACTGGCCCATGCGAGGCAGGTCCAAGTCTCCTACCGGCTTAAGCCAATGCACCCAACCTAGTCAGGTCAGGTCACATTGACTTAAGGGAGGAACACGGCAACCGACCTGGTAGCACAAGCTATCAGGTCCAACTCACACCCACCCACATCCACTCATGTATTTATCCAACCTATTTTTAAAGCTACACAACGTTCTGGCCTCTATAACTGTACTCGGGAGCTTGTTCCACTCATCCACAACTCTATTACCAAACCAGTACTTTCCTATATCCTTCCTGAATCTGAATTTTTCCAACTTAAAACCATTGCTGCGAGTCCTGTTTAGGCTAGATATTTTCAGCACACTATTTACATCCCCTGTCTTCCATTTATACACCTCAATTATATTCCCCCCTAATTCTACGTCTTTCTAGAGTGCAGATTCAGGGCCCTTAGTCTATCCTCATAGGGAAGGTTTCTGATACATGGGATCATCTTTGTCATCCTCCTTTGTACATTTTCCAGAGAATTTATATCCATTCTGTAATACGGTGACCAAAACTGTGCAGCATAATCTAAATGAGGCCTAACCAAGGATGTATAGAGTTGAAGAACAACCTGAGGACTCCTATTATTTATGCTTCTTGATATGAAGCCAAGGATTCTATTAGCTTTATTGCGAACACTTATGCACTGTTGTCTTGGTTTCAGATTACTGCTAACCAGAACTCCTAAATCTTTTTCGCAATCCGTAATATTAAGATCTACATTATTTAGTTTATATGTGGCATGGTTATTGTCCTGTCCAACATTTAGAACTTTGCATTTGTCTATATTAAACTGCATCTGCCACTTCTCCGACCACTGCATCAGTCTATTCAAATCTTCCTGGAGTGCTCGAATGTCCTCGTCAGAATGAATTCGACGGCCTATTTTGGTGTCATCGGCAAACTTGCCGATGTCGCTCTTTATGCCCTCATCTATATCGTTTATGTAGATTGTGAACAGCAGGGGGCCCAACACTGACCCCTCTGGAACACCGCTCGTGACGCTTCCCCACTCTGATTTCTCCCCATTTATGCAAACTCTCTGCTGCCTATTTGTCAACCATGCCTCTATCCAGGAAAAAATTTCTCCTCCTATTCCATGTGCTTTAATTTTCCTCAATAGTCTCTGATGTGGGACCCTGTCAAAAGCCTTACTGAAGTCCATATACACAATATCATATTCATTACCATGATCTACCTCCTCAAATACCTTAGTGAAAAAAGTTAATAAATTCGTAAGGCAGGAACGCCCCTTTGTAAAACCATGCTGAGATTCGTTGATTAATTTATGCTTTTCAAGGTGGCTACGAACTGCCTCGGCAATTATTGATTCCATAAATTTTCCACTATGGAGGTTAGGCTTATTGGTCTATAGTTCGAAGCTAAGGACCTGTCACCTGTTTTGAAAATAGGTATTACATTTGCCATTTTCCACTTATCTGGCACCATGCCAGTTTGTAGTGATATGTTGAAAAGATTAGCCAAAGGTGTGCTAAGCTCCTCTTTACATTCCTTTAGAACCCTTGCATACAGTTCATCAGGGCCTGGGGATTTGTTAGGTTTTAATTTATCTATTTGCCTAAGGACCATGTCACTTGTGACCCTAATAGTGCACAGTTTATTATCGTCCTGTTCTACATAATTTATCATTACTGGAATATCGCTGGTATCCTCATGTGTAAAAACTGAGAGGAAGTATGTGTTAAAAATTCTACACATTTCCTTATCACTGTCAGTGAGCTGACCCGAGGAACTTTTGAGTGGGCCTATCTTGTCCTGATCTTACTTCTGTATACCTGAAAGAATCCTTTTGGGTTAGTCTTCGATTCTCTTGCAACTTTAACCTCATAATCTCTTTTTGCTTTTCTAATTCCCTTTTTTATTTCTCTCTTTAACTGAATATATCGATTTCTTAATTGCCCCTCTCCTCTTTTGATTTGCCTATATATGCCTCTCTTTTGACCAATCAGATATTTTAATCTATTGTTCATCCATTTAGGATCATTTTTGTTTGATCTGATTTCCCTATTTGGAACATAATTTGACTGAGCAGCTAGAACTATGCCCTGGAAAGCATCATATCGGCAACCATCACCACCTACCTGACCCTTAGTCAGGTCATTCCAGTTCAGCCCACCTAAGTAATTTTTCAGTCCTATGAAATCAGCCAAGCGAAAGTCAGGGACGGAGACTTGATTGTCATTATTAGGGGAATTCCATGATATATTAAAACTGAGTGATTTGTGATCACTCTCCCCAAGCTCATCATTAACCTCAAGATTATTAATTAGTGTTTCCCTACTGGCAAGAACCAAGTCAAGGAGGTTATTTCCCCTAGTTGGCTCTGTCACAAACTGTTTTAAAAAACAATCCTGGATCGTATCAAGAAAGTCACCCGACTCTAAATTTCCTGTCAAATTGCTCCAGTCAATCTGTCTATAGTTGAAATCTCCCATTAGCACAACATTTTCGTATGTAGATGCCTTACGAATTTCGTCCCATAGAAGTTTACTGCACTCCCTATCAAGATTTGGGGCCCTGTAAATCACACCCAAAATTAATTTTTCTCGGCCCTCGAGAAGCTGTAACCAAAACAGATTCAGTGGCTGACGCTTCTAATTTAATATCTTGTCTAACACAACAATTTAAATTGTCTCTGACATACATCGCTACTCCACCACCTTTCCTGTTGACCCTGTCAGTGTGGAATAATTTATAGCCTTGTATGTGACATTCAGAGGGCATCTCTCCATCTTTCAGATTGAGCCAGGTCTCTGTTATAGCAATAATATCTATGTTTCCTGCACTTGCAATTAATCTTAGCTCATCTATCTTATTTCTAACACTCCTGCTATTAGTATAGTAAACCTTAAGGGAGCTAGTCCCTTGCTGCCCTCTGCTGTCCCCCTTTGTTTGCTGACCTGTTCTATTGTCTTTATTTATAACTTCATGCTGAATGCCTTTTATACATTTACTGTTTCCAACCCTAGTGTTGCAACCTGCTTGTTTCCCACACACACCCATACCTCTATCTTCCATCAGTTTAAAATCATAGGCATTTCACCAATGGCCTTCTCAATCGAGTCTGCAAGTGCTACCACCCCTGCCCCAGAGAGATGTACCCCATCCTAGTAACAAACATAAGTGTAAATTACTTACGATAACAATAAAAATAGTCAAAGTGACTTATTTTCATTGGGGTAAAAATGTTAGTCTGGGCTTAATAAGTTTATTTAGGCATAGGTACACATAAGTACAACTATCATACATAGTATAAATTACGTAGGATAACCCAAAAAAGCCAAAAAGTGATTCATTTCCACTGGGGTCCTTATGGATGTTGGTCCAGACTAACCTAACAACGAAATCCACTGTATCACCAAGACCATTTGCAATATCAAAGCACTTATTTTAAAGGAAGGATAGACAAATACATCAGTGGAATGAGTGTGTAAGCAAGACCTGATAAAAATGGACCAGTAGGCATAATGCACAATTTCTCTACTCTATATTCTTTATTTCCTACAAATTGTTTCCTGGGGCACTTCCTACACCTGCGTCTGCTGCTGCAATTTTTACGGCTGTATCTATAATAAATAAGACTGGAACAATACAAAAATAACTCGCACACTGGAGAATGAAACCTATAAGTGGGTTATTTGTGTCTTCTGAACCGTATTTATTGCAGCTATAACCTCCAGTTGCTGCTCCACCTACAGCAAAGCACTCTTCATCCTACACTACATTTTTGCTCCATCTACTAAAACTTTCCTCTATCATTCACTTCCGAGCCATCTGGAAGGCCAACAAATATTCATTAAAACCATTTAACCACATTATCATTACCACTAAACGCTGATCTTGCTCCAAAAACCAATGTGCCCGACCCACTCATGTAAAAAACCTCCGTTAAATAGCCTGGCAGCCTAGCTGGGGCTTCTCGCTTCTTCTTGTTCATTCAGGGTTATATACAGGAGTATTTAGGTATAATATTTATATAAACACAATATTTATTAGAGATGAGAAGCTGATTTTATTTGTTTTGAATACTTTTACATTTTCCGAAGTGAGTGTTGCCTACCAGTGTTGTTTATTTGGTATGTTGTATGGAAAATATATGTTACGTGATCTTTGGTTGCCCTAGACGGATACGTTCGGATTACTTTGTTTTCTCCAAGCCAAAAACAACAGCAGCAGCAACGACAACGACGATGATAACGACAACGACGATGATAACGACAACGACGATGACGACAAGAATAACGACGACAACAGTGACATCATCATTATCATTAAGCATCATCAAACATAAGAAAGGAGGAGCACTGCAGCAGGCCTGTTGGCCCATACTAGGCAGGTCCTTCACAATCATCAAAGATCATCATCTACAAAGTGCCAGATGGATATGTGGACCAGCGGGACACCAGCAGCAACAGCCTGATGGACCAAGCAAGCATCAGACAAGCCTGGCCCAGGGCCGGGCTGCAGGGTTGGAAAAACTCTCGAAACTCATAACACAAGAAAGAACACTGCCATAGGCCTACTGGCCCATGCGAGGCAGGTCCAAGTCTCCTACTGGCTTAAGCCAATGCCCTAACCTAGTTAGGTCAGGTCACATTCACTTAAGGAAGGAGCACGGCATATGACTTAGTAGCACAAGCTAGCCAGTTCCAACTCACACCCACCCTCACCTATTCATGTATTTATCCAACCTATTTTTAAAATTACACAACGTTTTAGCCTCTACAACTACTCGGGAGTTTGTTCCACTCATCCACAACTCGATTACCAAACCAGTGTTTTCCTATATCTTTCCCGAATCTGAATTTTTCCAACTTGAAACCATTGCTGCGAGTCCTGTCTATGTTAGATATTTTTAGTACGCTATTTACATCCACTTTGATAAATTAGACACATGTGCAACTCTTGGGTATCTTTATTGAGGAAACGTTTCGCCACACAGTGGCTTCATCAGTCCATACAAAGGAGAATCTTGAAGAACAGGAGGAGAATGAGGTAATCAGTCCCTCAACCTTGAGTCGATGTGGTCAGTCCATCAATCTTGAATGATTGATGGACTGACCACATCGACTCAAGGTTGAGGGACTGATTACCTCATTCTCCTCCTGTTCTTCAAGATTCTCCTTTGTATGGACTGATGAAGCCACTGTGTGGCGAAACGTTTCCTCAATAAAGATACCCAAGAGTTGCACATGTGTCTAATTTATCAACATGTCGGTTCTCTGAACCATTCATCCACATCCACTTTATTTATTCCTGTTTTCCATTTATACACCTCAATAATATCCTCCCTAATTCTACGCCTTTCTAGAGAGTGCAGATTCAGGGCCCTCAGTCTATCTTCATAGGGAAGATTTCTGATACATGGGAATTACTTTGTCATCCTCCTTTGCACGTTTTCCAGATAATTTATATCCATTCTGTAATACGGTGACCAAAACTGTGCAGCATAATCTAAATGAGGCCTAACCAAGGATATATAGAGTTGAACTACCTGAGGACTCCTGTTATTTATGCTTCTTGATATGAAGCCAAGAATTCTGTTCGCTTTATTACGAAAACTTATGCACTGTTGTCATGGTTTTAGGTTACTGCTAACCAGAGCCCCCAAATCCTTTTCGCAATCCATAGTATTAAGATCTACATTATTTAGTTTATATGTGGCATGGTTATTTTCCTGTCCAATGTTTAGAACTTTGCATTTGTCTATATTAAACTGCATCTGCCACTTCTCTGACCACTGCATTAGTCTATTCAAATCTTGCTGGAGTGTTCTAATGTCCTCTTCAGAATGAATTGGACGGCCTATTTTGGTGTCATCGACAAACTTGCTTATGTCGCTATTTATTCCCTCATCTATGTCATTTATGTAGATCGTGAACAATAAGTGGCCCAACACTGACACCTGTGGAACACCGCCCGGACGCTTCCCAACTATGATTTCTCCCCATTTATGCAAACTCTGCTACCTATTTGTCAACTATGCCTCTATCCAGGAAAAAAATTCTTCTATTCCGTGTACTTTAATTTTCGTCAATAGTCTCTGATGTGGGACTCTATCAAAAGCCTTACTGAAGTCCATATGTACAGTATCATATTCATTACCATGATCTACCTCCTCAAATACCTTAGTGAAACAAATTAATAAAGTCGTAAGGCATGAACGTCCTTTTGTGTACAGTTCATCAGGGCCTGGGGATTTGTCTAAGGACCATGTCACTTGTGACCCTAATCGTGCTTAGTTTATTATCTTGTTCTACGTAATTTATTTCTGGAATATCGCTAATATCTTCCTCATCCAAGGTAAAAATATATCATCATCATTGTCGTCCTTATTTATATTAATTAACCACATATTACATAGAGTATTCCACATATATACAATAACTTCAATAATTACAACACTTATAGAGAAAATATCGGTGTAAATTATGTCGATAGTCTGTACACCTATTGTTAACAGTTTTATAAATATGGTCCAAGTCGGACCGAAACGTCGTGATAAGTTTTTCTCCTATGTGCGGCTTATTTGTGTATTGTTCCATTCACGGTGTTGTGCCTTTTTGTTCCCTATCCATTTCCTTCACCCGTCTCCATCTTTCTTTCCTTTCTCTTGTTCCCCTTTTAACCTATGCTCCTCCTAGATATCTTTATCTATTTATTTTAAGAATACACTACGCCCGTCATGTTGAAATTGGTATAAAATACCGACAAGTTGAAGATTAAGACCATGGAGCTGAACTCATCTCCAGACTGAGGGACTGACCACCTCAACTACTTTTTCTCCAAGGTTGATGGACCGATTACATCATCTTTATGTCACTAGTACACCTGCTCCCTCTGTACTTGACTGAAGAAGCCTACTGTGTAGGCGAAACGTTTCATATATCACAGTTGCACATGTGTCTTAATGAACATTAAAATGGTACAAAATACCGACAGGTTGTTAGGAAAGACACATATGCAACAGTTAGGTATCTTTATAAAGATACCTATCTGCTGCATATGTGTCTTTCCTAACAACATGTGTCTTAATCTTCAAACCGATTATGTTGTTGGGCGAGACATCAGCTAGTCTTAAATTATTCCTTTTATACCACAACACTCGGCAACTTTGTTAATGTACTCGGTTCACTAATGATGCTTCTCTGCATCCGTTGATTATTGCACCTATGACCTGCAGGTGGGAAGCACAGACTCCAACGCCCAATTCAGGTGACAAGGTTGAAAACTAGCGTATCGTCATAATTCATTGGTTGACCTTGACCTTTCTCAGGTCAGCTAGGCAGTGGTGAAACTCGTAGGCCTGCCTAGCATGTGAGAGCAGGTCTACATTTGCTTTATTTTTCACCCCTTCTCTAGTTTTTATCTTTAATTATTTTATTAACTTCACTATCACTCTACTTTTCACTTGAATTCGCTTCACTAATCCAATAATTTCCACATTAACAGGAAACTCGGTGATAAGAGAGTTGAACGATGCTTTTGGCAACACTCACAGGTAGAAAATAATTGGTCTGATGTTTAGGTAGCCTCGTACTTCTCACTTCATTTTTTTTATCATAAATATCGTTATAACACTGCCTTAATTAATGCATGTAAAATATGTTTCTAGTTAATTTTGCTTCCGGAACACTCCACACTTTAGGTTTCTTAAAATCACTGTTGAGGTGCATGGATATTCCGTGAGAAAAAAAAAATGTTTGGCGTGAACAGTCGGTCTCAACTGTACTCGCCTAATTGTGGTTGCAGGGGTCGGTTCATAGTTCCTGGCCCCTCGTCACTGGTCGCCACTAGGTCACTCCCTCCCTGCTCCGTGAGGTTTATCATACCTCTTCTTAAAGTTGTGTATGGATCCTGCCTCCACCACCTCCCTTTCCAGACTATTCCACTTCCTGACAACTCTATGACTAAAGAAGTACTTCCTAACATCCCTGTGACTCATCTGAGTCTTCAACTTCCAGTTGTGACCCCTTGCTGGTGTGTCCCATCTTTGAAACATCCTGTCCCTGTCCACGCTGTCGATTCCTCTCAGAATTTATATGTTGTTATCATGTCCTCCCCCTATCCCTCCTGTCCTCCAGTGTCGTCAGGTCGATTTCCCTTAATCTCTCCTCGTAGGACATACCCCTTAACTCCGGGACTAGTCTTGTTGCAAACCTTTGCACTTTCTCTAATTTCCTGACGTGCTTGGCCAGATGTGGTTTCCAAAGTGGTGCTGCATACTCCCGTATGGGCCTGATGTACATGGTGTACAGAGTCCTGAGCGACTCTTTACTGAGATGTCGGAATGCTATTTTTAGGTTTGCTTGTCGCCCGTATGTTGCCGCAGCAGTTATTTGGTTGATGTGCGCCTCAGGAGATGTGTTCGGTGTTATACTCACCCCAAGATCCTTTTCCTTGAGTGAGGTTTGTAGTCTTTGGCCCCCCTAGACTGTATTCTTTCTGTAGTCTTCTTTGCCCTTCCCCGATCTTCATGACTTTACACTTAACGGGGTTGAACTCCAGGAGCCATTTGCTGAACCAGGCCTGTAGCCTGTCCAGAACCCTTTGTAGTTCTGCCTTATCCTCCTCTGATTGAGTTCTCCTTATTAATTTGACATCTTCTGCAAAGACACTTCTGAGTCTATTCCTTTCCGTCATGTCATTCACATATACCAGACACAGCACCTGCCCACTCCGACACCTCGTTGCGTACCATGACTCGCTGCTACCTTCCTGTCAGGTAGTCTCTGATTAATTGAAGTGCCTTCCCTGTTATACATGCCTGGTCCTCTATCTTTTGCACTAATCTCTTGAGTGGAACTGTGTCAAAAGCCTTCTTACAGTCCAAGAAAATGCAATCTACCCCCCTCTCTCTTGTCTTACTGCTGTCACCTTGTTATAAAACTCAAGTAGATACACAAATAACAAAAAGGCACAATACCG